TCTATGCATATTTAGGCCAGCTGTTTTGTTTTGCAAAACCACAATCCTATAATATAGACAGTTTTATAGTCTGCTTTTTAAACACAATTATATAACATTTAGCTGTTTCACCTGCACGCAAATCCATAAAGGTTGTAACAATTCATTTCTCAGGGAAACGAGAAATAATCTTATCAAAAAATAAAGACAGAATCAAAAATAATGTTATTTCTTAAAGGACCCATTTTCTCTTTTATAATACCTAATAAATACTATTTGATGACTCTTTTTCAGAAAAGAAAAGGGTAAATCATCCTAAAGTTAAGTCTTTGATGGGAAGAAGCATTTATCAAAAAATTAAGGGAAGAGTAAACATCTTTAGGAAATCTTTTAGTCATATGTATATTATCAATACTCTTAAACACTAGGATTATAAATTTCCTATACCTTTTTAATATTCCTTTGAAATTCCTTATGGCGCACAGGTAGCGTATAGAAGAGCTGCTGCACGCTGACTGTCGTCCCCCTGGGTCGTGGGTAGGGGGTTTTTTGGACGATTTTCCCATTGTGATCAAACACCAGTCGAGTCCCAACCTTTGCAGATGCGTGGCAGGTAGAAATACTTACATCACTGAAAGAAAACGCAAGGCATGGTATGTTCAGTTAGAGACACACAAACGCTGTATACTAAATACTTTTTCTCATTTTCCTTTCTCTCAAAACTTTAAAAAGATGATGATCTCTCTGAGGTAATCAAGAAGATTTAAATGGGTGAGGAGTCATCATAAAACCTAAGGCTCGCACCTAAAAGACAGTGACACAAAGAGTTCTATAAATGTTTTGTTTTGTTTTGATAAAAGCTTTGATTTAATGTTTTAGGCTGAACTACAAAACAATAAAGGATCTCAAAATTTGTTTATTCAAAAAAAGAGATTTATTTATCAGTTTTGTTACTACCATTCTAACAAAATTTTTAAAAGAATCCAAAAGATGTAATAATTCAAATGTATAAGTAATTGTTTATAAAAATTAGAATCTGTGCTATAATTAAACAAGTGCTTTGGTTAACTTTTTTTCCTAAAAATTGAAAATAAATTAAAACCAATGGTACCAGCCAAGCACAGTGGCTCACACCTGTAATCCTAGCACTCTGGGAGGCTGAGGAGGGAGGACTGCTTGAGGCCAGGAGTTTAAGACCAGCCTGAGCAAGAGTGAGACCTTGTCTCTACTAAAAACAGAAAAATTAGCTGGGCATCGTGTCTTGTGCCTGTAGTCCCAGCTACTTGGGAGGCTGAGGCAAAAGGATCGCTTATGCCCAGGACTTTGATGTTGCAGTGATGATGCCACTACACTCTACTCAGGGCGACAGAGCGAGAGACTCTGTCACACACAAAAGAAACAATGGTACCTATAATTTATTATTTATATGTTATATTATAATTGAGAAATTACTGATTTAATAAGGGTAACAATTTTTTTACACTACTATTTGCTTCATTTCTTTCATTTATTGCTCAAATTTCAGAAGTATTATCACTTAGATTGGTAGTTACATAAAACAAGTCAGAAGTTGAGACATTGAGATAGGAAAGTGTAAACAATAATGATTGTAATTATACTTTTCAATTTCTCATAAGGGGTCAAGTTAATGGATAAAAATATTGTATCACCTCAGTGCACAAAGTGAGCTCAGTGCTTCCCCCCGAAAGCCAAAAGTTTCAACCTGAGTTAGGTCAGCAAACTCTTGAATCTTAGAAGTGTGATGTTTCAGAGCTGAAAGAGAGTGTAAAGTAAAGCCCAAGATATCTCAAGTGACATAGCAATAAATATACACAATACCTACCAAAGTAACTGGTTTTAAAAAACTGTCTTTCTGTTTCCTAAGACAATGTTACTCAAAACTCTGAGACATTTGGCCCAACTATCTTATAATAGGATTAGAAAAATTCAACTTACTTAAGCCTTCAAAGTTTTCTTCTTCTACCCCGCATCCATTGTCTGAAACTTCAATGAGATCCACCCCATAGTCTTTAAGCCTTAGATCTAAAAAATTTAATACATTTATGTATTTCTCAAAGACTGGTCTATGCTAAAAGCTTTTTATATTGACATTATTTATAACATATAATGCAAATCTAAGAGCCATAACTACACATCTAGTTAAATATACTATTGTCATTTTTTTATATTTTGAAGTCCTTTTTGGATATTTACTAGCCCAGATTAAGCAGTTTTGTTTTTTTCTTTTGAAAGTAATAATTTTTTTTTTTTTTTTTAAACAGAGTCTCACTCTGTTGCCCTGGCTAGAGTGCCGTGGCGTCAGCCTAGCTCACAGCAACCTCAAACTCCTGGGCTCAAGCGATCCTTCTGCCTCAGCCTCCCAAGTAGCTGGGACTACAGGCATGCGCCACCATGCCCGGCTAATTTTTTCTATATATTTTTAGTTGTCCAATTAATTTCTTTCTATTTTTAGTAGAGACGGGGTCTCGCTCTTGCTCAGGCTGGTTTCGAACTCCCAAGCTCAAACAATCCATGAAAGTAATAATTTTAACAGTCATTAATGAGAATAGGCTCTGGAATCAGAGTTTCTGGATCATATTTTACTAGCTTTATAACCTCAAAAAAAGTAAATTCCCCGTCCTTTAATTTCTTCATCTGTAAAATGAAGACAATAATAACAACTCCTATCTCATAAAGCTATTCTGCAGATTAAAGGAAATATTCCACGTATAATTTTTAGCACAATGCCTGCTAAGTAAGAACAATAAGAACACAATAGACGTTAGCTGCTATTATTATTATTACTACCTAAATAGTAGGCACATAATAGGCAGTAACTTTAAAAACTTATTGGTATATCAACACTTGATTATCTTATTACAGTAACAAATGTTTCTTGAATAAAATAACATAACTGATTATTTCTTGTGGTGTTAAACTCTCCCAAACTTACCAATATTAGTGGCACCAGCATCCACACTATTTTCTACCAACTCCTTCACAGCAGTGCTTAGACTGAGAACCACCTGCCCGGAACAAATTTGATGGACTGACTTCCGATCGATAGGTTTGATGGCCTTAGCAAGTTCTGTACTAAAAAAATCAGTTACAAGACACGAAGCAAGTACTTAGTTATGCATTTTCATCCTGATTTTGAATGTGGGAAATGATTCATCCCTGTTAATAGCTTATGAGTTTAATCTATTCATTTATTATATTAACATATAATTTTTATTATTCATAAATATTTATTATTCATAAATATAAACATTGTTTTACAATCCTCAAATATCTGTCAAACACACTTCTGAATACATACTTCAAATTCAATAGATATTTAAAATCTAGTTATACTGGCATCTACATGGAGACACATTGTATCCCTCAAGCTACATTTGCAACAATGGGATCTTCTTTCTTGAAAAGTGAAAGCAACATTTCTTGCATAATTTGAAAAACCAGGAGTATGCTGGGAAATAGTGTTTATGTCAAAACCATCTCAGAAACTGGGTACCAGCTGTACAGTAACTATTCCATACATATTAATAGTTGTCTTGGAAACCCCTCTCCAAAGGCCAGGTGCCAGCTGCTGCCTTAGTAAAGGCCCTTAAAGTTCTTGCTTACCAGTTTTAAGAATTTTACAACTGTTTTCCTGCACTTTCTCCCTACTCCAATCTATCATCCATGCTACCACCAGAGTTATTTTTGAAATCACAAATCTGGTCAAATAATTCCTCTGCTTAAAAATTTATTAGTGTCCTACTGCCTACTATATGAAGTTTAAATCTAGTCAAAATTGGGCCCCAATCTACCCATTTACTCATTCTCTCTAATCCTTTTCCCTTCACCAAGTCCCCCACATTTTAGTCACGGTGAACAATTGTTTCTTGACTATCACAAGCTCTTTTAGACACCGAACTGTGTCTAAGCAGGTCTTTCTGTCTAAACTGCTCTCTTCTTCCTCGTCTGCCCGGTCAATTTCATATGTTCAATAATCCAGCAATTTCTAGTAAACGGTTTAATTGATAACTTGGGTATAATGGAATGCAAGAGTCTCCCTGAAAGAGAAATCTTTGGGTATTTCCCACAGCATCTAACACATAGTAGACCTTCAATCAACCCTTGTGAAATAAAGGAGCAACCATTTTTATTCTGCATTCTATGTTGCAATGAATCTCACTTAAGTTTGTCTAGAACGTGAAACTGCAGATGACCTCACATAAAATGGAAAGTATCTCCAAAAATGTGTGTATTTGGCAACACGCCATGGCCTACAGGTCCACTGCTGATATTTATTTTGAGGAGCGGGATGCTACAACCTTTAAATACAGGCAGCAAATCCGCGTTTACGAATCTGACACTGAACACAACAGTATAGGCCGAAGATTCACTACCCCGAAAACGGTAGCTTACCGGCCAAAAAGCACATACTCAAGCAGATGTACAAGCACTGCATTTTAAAAAACCGTTCAGCTATGCAAATTAGGATGTGCCTTGAAGCTCCCTCATTCCCAAAATAACCTCGGTTTTTTAAAAGAGAGAGAGAGAAACCAGGTAAAACGGAAATGAATTCAGTCTAGGGGTATTTCATGCTCCGGCTTCAAGTCCACGGCCTCGTGATGGCGTCTGGGCAGGGCCTGCCCGGGAGCTGACCGAACCCAATACCTCAAAGCGCCGAATCCCGCCGCCAGCCCAGGACACGGAGAGGGGATCGACCCTAGCCTCAAAGCACACCCAAAGGGCACCGGGTCAGAGGAGCGCTGCGGACGCCGCTCCGCGGACTCTACGCCGCGGGCTCGCCACGCGCCTCGCCACTTTCCCCTCCTTTCCAGGGTGCTGGAACGCCGTGGGTCTTACAAAGGGCGACAGTCAGGGTAGACCGCAAGACCAGCTCACCTCGAGCCCTCAGCTCGCTCCATGGATGCAGAACCCGACCCGCCTCCGGGATTGCCTGAGAGCTCTCCCAGTGGCTCCCGCAAGGGCCCCGCCTCCCGGCCGCCCATTGGCTGCTTTCGACACTGTGCCCCGCCCCTTCCGTGCGGGACGGCAAATACTTCCCATATCTCCGTCTCGTTTATTGGCTCTGTCAAAAGTCGAGTCCGTGACGTTTAGAGAGCCCGGGCCAATTAGAGCACACGGACTGCGTTTTCCCTACCGCCCGCAGCAGGGTCAGCAAGGAGGTGGCCGTGATCTGTCGCGGCCTTGGACGGTTTTTGAGCGTTCGCGTCTGTCAGGCGCTACCTTCTTTCCTTCGGTTCCGTGATGCCGATGTACCAGGTAAAGCCCTATCACGGGGGCAGCGCGCCTCTCCGTGTAGAGCTTCCCACCTGCATGTACCGGCTCCCCAACGTGCACGGCAGAACCGGTTGCGGCACGCCCGACTCGGGCCATGTGCAGGTAGGAGCGCGCGGCCCCCGCCCAGTGCGCAGGCGCGGCGGCCGGTCAGTGGCCGGGTCCCACCAGGCTGGGGCGAGTGGATCTCACTGGTTCGGGGTCGGCCGGCCAACAAGTCACCCTAACTTTTGTCAATTAAAATCTCTCTCTTCTCTTTTTCTTCTTTTCGCATGTGGCCGCTTAAACTTTTTTATTTGGAAATTTTACCCTCCGAAAAGCGAATAGCACATTAAATGCTCGCTTTGAGGAATTACAGAGCAAACCAGGATCTCCACCACCCAGTCACCGCCCCACACTTCTCGCTTATAACTTTACCCCAAAGGTCCTGACTTTTATGGTAATTATGTTCTGCTTTTTTAATTCTTTGTCAACTAAATATGCATCCCTAGAACTACAAAGTCTTGATATAAGTGGAAGCATGCGGTATGTGTTCTGTTGTCTCTGGCTTCTTTTTTGAAGACATGATTTTAAGAGTCATTCTGTTGAGAGTAACAATGTTCATCTTCTCTGTAATATACTGTTCCATTGCATGACTCTACCACCATTACTTATCCATCCTATGCTCATAGACACCGGATTGTTTGCTCTTTTCTGCTGTTATGAATTATTCTGCAATGAGTATTATACTAGAGCAGGCATAGAGTATATACTAAGGAATGATATTGCTGGCTTAATGGGCAGATCTGTCTTCCACTTTACTAGATAAATTATTTTCCAAAGTGATTATACTGGTTTCTGCTCTCACCAGCAGTGTAAGAATTCCTGATGTTTGTGGCTTTCCCAAAGCTGGTGTGTGTAAAGTGGTATCCTAATGTAGTTTCAGTAAGTTGAAGACCTTTTCATATTTATTGGCCATTTTGATTGCTGTTTTGTAGTTTACCTGCTCAAGTCTTTCACTCTTTTATCAATTACAAAAATACATCTTAGGTTTCCAGCAGTAGAAAAGTCTGTTCTGACAGAAGATGAGTGAATAGATAACTTTTGAGATCTGTTTTCCCACTGCCTGTTATCTTTCAGTTTGCCTATTAAGCCATTAGACTTTCTGCCTACATTGGAAAGGAGGGAGAAAGGTTAGTTTGAAACCAAATGACAGCTGTTATCTCACTGCAGAGCTAAGACAAAAATAGCAGTCATTGTTCAATGGCCCCTTCAACTACAGACTGCTGTGGAGACTTGGCCCAGTGCCTCTGTCAACTTCACAGTCCCATGGAACCAAAAAGGAAACCCAGAATGGAGAATGTCACTTCTCATTTACGATCTAGTTTGGGGTCTGTTTTGTTTGTTATGACTCCGTTGCCTCACTTCCTTTGAGCTTTTATGTGTGAACTTATATCTTAGAAGACACACAATCCCACTCCTCTAGCAATTTCTCTAGCAGAGGATAACAATGTGGATAGACAAATAATTAGAAATCAGGCATATCCTGACAGGTATATGACAGCAACACAAATAATAAGCTATCTCTAAATACATGTAAATTAAAACAAATGGATAAACATTAATATACCAAGTCACAATCTAGTCTCAGCAAGGAAAACAACAGGCTGATGAGGTAGAGCAGATCTTGAGCATTTTGGTGTTACCCGAGGGACTACGCTCAGGGTTTATAAATCATAGGCCATGTTGCATATGCAGTGCTTCAGATATTCTTCAGTGGTGACTGAGTTTTGAATCCAGTGGGTGCCTTTTTGGGCCTAGCGAGCAAGCACTGTACTGCTATTTGTAGAAATGAGCAAGACTGCACAAACAATGCACAAATACAGGTTGGATAAAGGTTGGGAAATATTCCTCAGGAGGGCTGTCATTGAATAACAGGATATTACACAGGTAGTAGCCCTACCCGTCACACATCTTGCATTCAGACTTCTTTCCAGTTGGCACCTAATTATTTCATTGGCATAGTGAACTGTATTCTTCTTGTTCCACCCAGAAGTCAGTGAACTTACAATTCTTTGCTGTTTGATCTTAAGCAAGAGCAGCAGAGTAGAAGAGTTGAGAAAGTGTTGATTACGCTGTAGTGTAAATAGGAGTTAACCAGACATGAGAAGAGGGAAGAGTGTTACAGACAGAAGGAATAGCACATATAAAGGTCCTGTGGTAGACAGGAGTGTGGTATTTTTGGGAATTCACAAGACAATGTGACTAGAGCACAGAGCAAGGGGAGGGAATTATGTGAGGTGAGGCAGCCAGGGGCCAAATCATATGAGATATTAAGCCATGTTAAGGGTTTAACTTAATTATCATAAGAGCCTAAGAGGTTAGCAAAGGTGGGGGCGGGGAGGTGATCACAGATCTGAGTTTGTTTTTTAAACTCTCTGTAGCTGCCATCTTATGGGATGGATTGGAGGAGTGGACCAGAATGGATGCAGGGTGACCAATCAGAAAACAGGTCACGTGAAAAATGGTGGCTTGGCCTTGGGTGGTGACAGTTGGAAGCACGCTTAGAAGCCAGTAGACTCCAAATATATTTGGGAGGTAAAACTGACAAACACTACCTGATGATAAATTGGATATGTGAGAGAGGGAGGTGTAATGAGTGAATAGTGGAGGAAGAGATGTTCTAGGAACATTGAACTTAAAAATGTGAGCAAGTACCCCTTCTGCACTCCCATGAGTATCATGAGTGCACACTTACAATAAACCCGTTGAGATCACTGCCTATTGTCATGAGCATTTTCCACATGCTTAATGTATTCTTTGTTCTCTCATGCAAGCTCATGAATCTGGTGGTACCATGTGACTTTATTGGGAAGTTTCTTGTTACTGATACACACATATACTTTGAGTTGTCATTTTAGGCTTGTTATTGCCTTTTAAAGTAAGTCTATGGAGTTTGAGATTTATTCATCAGCAAATATTGATTCTTTACTGTGTACCAGACACTACACTAGGGAAGAAGGATGCACAGATTCAGTGAATAAATAATGTAAGTGTTCCCTATTCATGAAATTATACATTTCAGCAGTGAAAAAGTTCTAGATGATTCTGAGATACAAGTGTCAGTACTGCCTTGAAAATGACTTGGAGAATTGATCATTTGACCCCATGGACATGCTTCCAAGTCAAAGAAAACATTTTTTTAAACCTGTCTGTGCTCCCTTTTCCCTTCTATTTATATAAATTACTGAGTTACATCCTCATCCCCCCATCTTCACTACTTGTTCAAGCAAAGTATTTTGAATTAGTTTGTTATTAAGAATAAGGGGCCAGGCGCGGTGGCTCACGCCTGTAATCCTAGCACTCTGGGAGGCCAAGGCGGGTGGATTGTTTGAGCTCAGGAGTTCGAGACCAGCCTGAGCAAGAGCAAGACCCTGTCTCTACTAAAAAAAAAATGGAAAGAAATTATCTGGACAACTAAAAATATATAGAAAAAATTAGCCGGGCATGGTGGCTACTCGGGAGCCACCCAGCTACTCAGGAGGCTGAGGCAGAAGGATTGCTTGAGCCCAGGAGTTTGAGATTGCTGTGAGCTAGGCTAACGCCACAGCGCTCACTCTAGCCAGGGCAACAGAGTGAGACTCTATCTCAAAAAAAAAAAAAAAAAAGAATAAGGGACATTTGTGTTCATTTTCTACCCTTCCCTGTTCTTAGACTAAATTACCTGAAATAGGAATCATACCATTTCAAAGTGGCTTTCAGTCACAATGGTTTTTTTGTTTGTTTGCTTGTTTTAAAGCATTTGTGGATGGATTTGAAGGGACCTGTTGGACTATGGGGAAAATGAGGTGATTCTGCTACTTTATTTATTTATTTATTTTTTCTGCTACTTTATTTTAATGTCTTCTTTTAAACAGTGGGAGGTTTGGTAAGTGCATAGAACAAAGTAAGACAATTGATCAAATTTAAACAGACTGACTGCTTTGATGTGAGAAGAAATGAACACTTTGATGTTGGTTTGTTTAGGAAGAGTCTGACCCATCTCTGCAAGCTCTTGAGTCCCGCCAAGATGATATTTTAAAGCGTTTATATGAGTTGAAAGCTGCAGTTGATGGTCTCTCCAAGATGATTCAAACACCAGATGCAGACTTGGATGTAACGAACATAATCCAAGCAGATGAGCCCACTGCTTTAACAACCAATGCACTGGACTTGAATTCAGTGCTTGGAAAGGTAAGTTTATATTGAAAGCTGAGAAATGTCAGCTTTCTGTTTTTCACAGGTGGAGCAAAGAGCATGTTCTTTTTTCTCCTCTAAATGATTGTGCCTTTACACACAACAGATTCACGAGGTGTGAGTGAAGCCAAAACAAGCTCTAAAGCCTCCTCTTGACTTCTTAGACTAAGTGGAGAACAGGGAGGATCTGTAGGCAAAGAAAGGAGTCAAGAAGAGTTACAGCCTCTGCCATTCTGGGCATGGTTCCAGCAGCCCATGAGCCTGGAGCAGCAGATCTTAGCTCGTGTGCTCCGTGCTGCTCAGATTCTTCAGCAGAGGCAACCTTCATCTTTTTGAGAATAGCCCAACTTTCAGAATCTTGGCTGTCCAAGCACCGAAGTCCCATTAATCCTTTTGAAATATATTGCTACAGTCAGCCACAGTCTCATATTTCAAATGCATTTTGCTTGAATTCAGTTTGCTGTATTAAAAGTAGGTTGCATCAGCCAGCTGTCCTGATCGAAGTTTATAGGCTTGAGAATTCAAAGGGGTTTGTTGCAAGAATCCCTACTAACACCTCCCTCAAGAATGGGTGACAGAATGGTCCCAAAGACCTAAAAAGTAGAAACAATGTTTCAGTATCTCACTCAGGGGTCAGTTTTTGGTAATCTCCGTACGTCTGCATTTGTGTATTCCTTCTGCTCACCCATTTATTCAGTACTTGTTTGCATGCACTGAGGACTCCGGTGAGACCCAAGCAGGCCTCTCGGGAGCCAGAGTCTACTGGATGGGTTGGTGAGCACACAGCAGTGACAGGATTTCTTAGGGTGCTGGGAAGGCTTCTCAGAGCACATAGTGCTCAAGATGAAATATGATACTTCAGAAGGGACAGTCATGTAATACAATATGTTCAGGAAATTGCAAAGCACTCAGCATAGCTTGATGTGTAGGACATTAGGAGTGGCAGGCTTGGAAAGGCTAGGAATTTGGCTGCGATTCTTTACATAAGTTGCATTTATTATTAAGAGTGACAGTATAGAAATAAAGTCTTCATGTAAAAAGCGTATCAGTTTTGGCACTATAGTTAACACTTTGTGTTTTAGAATTTCCCCACCTCACAAATTGATGTAGAAACTATATCCTGTCAGGTGATCAGGTGTTAAAAAGATTTGATAGCTGGAATAATTGCATGAGTGATTTTTTTGAACATAGTTTTATCTCAGAGATAAAAGGGACAAATGGAAGTGTCATTCCTGAATGTTGTTTTATTCATTTGACAGTAAAGTCAACTTATTTGTAGGAAGCCAGCAGTGTAGGGGCTAAGGAGGTGGAGTCAGCTCATATCCCACCTCCATTTCTTACTGAGTGACCTTGGATAAGTTACTTTTCTCAGCTGTAAAGTGGAGATGTCATAGTACCTTCTTCATGGGAGTGGGTGATTCAATTAAGTAGCCCTGGTTAAGCTCTTGGAGTAGCAACCTGGTAGAGTTATGCACAGATTGCCTTTATTGCTACATTGTTTTGATCTTTCCCCAGGATTATGGGGCGCTGAAAGACATCGTGATCAATGCAAACCCAGCCTCCCCTCCGCTTTCCCTGCTCGTGCTGCACAGGCTGCTCTGTGACCACTACAGGGTCCTGTCCACTGTGCACACACATTCATCAGTCAAGAGCGTGCCTGAAAACCTTCTGAAGTGCTTTGGAGAACAGACTAAAAAACGACCCCGTCATGAATATCAGCTGGGTTTTACTCTAATTTGGAAGAATGGTAAGTAGACAGAACTGAGTTGAACTTATATACAGTTGACCCTTGAACAATGTGGATTTGAACTGCATGGGTCCACTTATGTGCAGATTTTTAAAAGTACCTATATTGGAAAAATTTTTGGAGATTTGCAACAATTGTAAAAAACTTGCAAACTGCATAGGCTAGAAATATCAAAAAAATTAAGAAAAAGTTGTGTCATGAATACATAAAATATATGTAGATACTAGTCTAGCATTTGCTTCCATAAAATATACACAAATCTATTATAAAAAGTAAAATCTATCAAAACTTACATAATTACCGTACATGGCACCATTTGTAGTCAAAAGAAATGTAATCAAATGTAAAAACAGTGTTAAATCGTAATTGCATAAAATTAAGTGTAGTACATACTGTAATAGCACCTCCTGTTGCTACTGTGGTGAGTTCAAGGGTTGCAAGTATCTGCTTAAGACGTCATGTGACACTCATCATCTCTGTATGAGCAGTTCATCTTTCCAGTAAATTGTGTATCTCCGTAAAAAGTGATCTTTTGAGGTCCTTGAGTATTTTTCATCATGTTTAGTGCAATAATATAAACCTCGAATGACACCATAGGACACATACTAAGTGCGACTAGTGATGCTGGAAGTGCTTCCAAGAAGCAAAATCATGACATTACAAGAAAAAGTTGGATTGCTTGATATGTTGTACCATAGATTGAGGTCTGCCCCTGTGCTTGCCCACCATTTCAAGATAAATGAATCCAGCTTAAGGACCATTATTAAAAAAAAAAAAGGAAAGGAAATTCTTGAAGTTGTATCTGTGCCAGCAGGCACAAAAAACTTTGTACTTTTTGTGTTTATCTTGTATTAAAAACGCACCTCAGCCACCCGAAGTGCTGGGATTACAGGCATGAGCCACTGTGCCCAGCTTATATATGTGGATTTTTGACTGCACAGGGGAAGGGGACTATGGTGATTTTCAAGGGTCAGCTATACTATATGATAAAATATGCATCATGGTTTTGATAAGAAGCAGCAAAGAGATAGGATATTATAGGGCATACAGACCATACAGCACTTGCTGTCAGGTCAAATCATCTAAAAGTTTGGAAAGCTTGTGGGGTAGTTTTAGAAGAGGAGCAGAAATGATTCTTGATGCAAAGATGCCCTCATTCCCCTGGGAAGGTTGGGGTCTCTGAGTGAGACACAGTTCAGGGGCAAGAGGGTTGTGAGCATTGGACGGAGTCCTATCTGAGCAGGGGAGTAATGGCTGTTGCAGCCATCTTGCCTTCACATTCTAAAACTTACCATTACAGGGACACTGAAGTTATCCTTTCATATGGCCATAAAAAGACAGGGTACTGACCTGGTTAAGTAAATACAGAGGGAAGTGAGTTAATGTCATTCATCCAGGGGAATACCTTAACTGTCCTCAGCTCCACAAAAGTCATTATGAGGGCAGAGAGCTCCCAGCCTCTCTGGAATGCCTGTGTTTCCAGTCCTCAGTCTCCAGATCCTCAGGCAACAGGGACTGGAGTAAAAGGTCTGCAGTCCCTTCTAGCTCGAAAACTGTCATGATCAAATACCAGAAATGGTTACTTGGTTACTTTTTTTTTGAGACAGAGTCTCGCTTTGTTTTTTTGTTTTTTTTTTTGAGACAGAGTCTTGCTTTGTTGCCCGGGCTAGAGTGAGTACCGTGGTGTCAGCCTAGCTCACATCAACCTCAAACTCCTGGGCTCAAGCAATCCTTCTGCCTCAGCCTCCCGAGTAGCTGGGACTACAGGCATGCGCCACCATGCCCGGCTAATTTTTTCTCTCTATATATATTTTTACAATTAATTTCTTTCTATTTTTTAGTAGAGACCTGGTCTTGCTTTTGCTCAGGCTGGTCTCGAACTCCTGACCTTGAGCGATCCACCCGCCTCAGCCTCCCAGAGTGCTAGGATTACAGGCGTGAGCCACCACGCCCGGCCTTTGGTTACTTTTTTAACATACGGTTTGCACCTAAACCCTTTTGAATATTAAACTTTTGGAGACAGACTAAAAATGTGATGTGACATTCTTCTTGAAAATAAGTTTCCCTTATCATCACTTCATGATTTTTGGTGACTTCCCCTTTCCACATTGTACAAGTACTTCCTTCAGGGCTGTTGTTGATGCTACACGGTGTATTTTTTCTTTTCAGTGCCGAAGACTCAGATGAAATTCAGTGTCCAGACGATGTGCCCCATTGAAGGAGAAGGGAACATCGCACGTTTCTTGTTCTCTCTGTTTGGCCAGAAGCATAATGCTGTAAATGCAACCCTCATAGATAGCTGGGTAGACATTGCTATTTTTCAGTTAAAAGAGGGAAGCAGTAAAGAAAAAGCCGCTGTTTTCCGTTCCATGAACTCTGCTCTCGGGAAGAGCCCTTGGCTTGCTGGGAACGAACTCACCGTGGCAGACATCGTGCTGTGGTCTGTGCTTCAGCAGACTGGAGGCTGCAGTGCAGCGGTGCCGGCCAACGTGCAGAGGTGGATGCGGTCTTGTGAAAACCTGGCCCCTTTTAACTCTGCCCTCAAGCTCCTTAAGTGAATTTCAGTAATGGATTTTAAAGGGTTCAGATTTTAAGAATGGTGCTGTTTCATGCCTGTTGTCAGTAAAGAGACCTGTATTAGAATCAAAGTCTTTTTATTTAGGCCAGTTGTCAAGTATCAATAAAAGCATCATGTAATCTGTGTTTTTCATTTTATTTAAAATTCAGCAAAATCGTATGCAACATACCATGATGACTACCCACCACGTGGTAGGCACTTTCTGGGATTCAAAAATGAATATATCAGTTTGTACATCTGCCTTTGAAGGATGTACAGATTGGCTGGGGAGTTGAGTGCTGTAATAGAGCAAAGGCAGGAAAGATCATGTCTGAGCTGCTCTGAGATTACTGGGGGCAAAAAGTACAAAGCTTTGCTAGGCGTGTGGCTTTGGAATGATGCTCAGTTGAAGGTGGGCAGAACAGACAAAAAGGCTAGAGGTACACACTGCCAAGGAGTTGAGCTTTTATCTTGGAGGCAGCAGAGAGCCAGCAAAAGGTTTTGAGCCAAGAAATGAACTGATCAGGTGTCTTTCTGGTAAATTAACCTCAGCAACAGTGTGAGAGGGTAGGAAGACTGGCAGCTGTCCACATTGGAACAGCCCAGTCAGTGTGCAGGCCTGGGCTTAGGCAGTCAGGGTAGGGAGCACACACATCGATTTCTGCAGCAGAACCTTATAAAGGGGGACTAAGGGGTCAATGGGCAGAGTTTAAAGAAGAAAGAACAGTTGAGGATGATGTCTTTTTAGTTTCAGGGACTGTGTGGATGGTAATATTGAAGCAGGAAATTCAGGAATAGGAGCTTGTGCAATAGGAAAGGGAAAGAACAGGTTTAATTCAGAGCAGTAAAAAGCTCCCTAAGGAAAAAGCAATGCAGGGGCACTTTTAAATCTTTAGTAAGTCTTGTCCAGCCTTACTAAATATAATTAAGAATTATACCATTTATGCCCTAATAAAGATTGAAAATTTACACTCCAGTTAACAATTTTAAGGGTTTAAAATTGTTTCATATTACCGACACTTTCATATTACCGACATAGCCTAATTAAGGCTAGACAGGTACAACTCCGTCTTTCATGCTGTCGTTCACCCCTCTGTCCTGAGAAAGGAGTTTTAGCTGCCTCTTTAGCTCTTCAATTTCTTTTTCTTGCTCTATTATCTTCATCTGTAGGGTGAGATTAACCTGTAAAGAGAAAATTTTAAGCTCCGTTAAAATGGCTACTTCCCTATTAAATATACAGGCAGCCCATGCTTTGCATGGTACCAATATGCATGAGTTTGTTATCACAGTTTAGTTAAATAACACTGGTCACCCAATGGCGTGGTTGAAGTGTCAGTGACCACAATACATTAACTATAACTCTTCAGTTCCCCAAGCACTGTGTTAAATAACATGCACACCATGATCAGGGACCAGTCACTTGCAAGGTCTGTCAGAGATTGGTCACCACACACTGTTAGTTCACAACAAAGTGTGTAGTTGTGTTGCCTCTTCGTCTTCCAGTGGGGAACCCACATGACATTTTTTTTTTAAATGGATAAAGAGGGAACTGGCCAACAAAGATGAAAGTGCAGCAAAATAATGAAAAGTGATAGTGCTGGAATTAAAATTAGGGTCAAACATAAAAGGTGTTCTAGAATAGCAGGCAGACGTAGGAACGTTGCCACTACAAGAGAGTCAACATTCTCATGTTGCAGCTACAGGCACTAAGTAAGAGCAGCTTCTCAACACAAATGAGGAAAGGGATGAAGACGTCCCAGAGAAAGTGACACCAGCAAAAAAACTTCACATTAAAAGAACTCTCAGAGATGTTTCCCAACACTGAAAGTATTACACAAAGGATAAAATGCTGGAAGCTGATCCAAACTTAAGGAGTATGACAGTTTGCCAAGGCAAGAAAAGGTGCACACTCTCTTGTGTTACATGAGATGAAGGCAGTCACTGTTCAAACTGCTCCTGAGACACTTGACTTTTCCATGTTTCTAACATTTTAAGATACAAAACACTAAATCAACATTAGTTTTATGATTTTTTCATCTCTACATACATTTATAACTGACAATAAGAGAGTTTAATGTTTTGCCAAATTTTAAAGGTCACAGAACAATCATAACTTTTCCCATTAAGATTCCTTTGCATGGCTTAAGCTTTGCTAGGTCATTTTTTAATTTTTATTTATTTATTTTTTTAGGGATGGGATCTAGCTTTGTCATTCAGGCTGGAGTGCAGAGGTGTGATCATAGCTCACTGCAGCCTCAGACTCCTTGGCTCAAGTGATCCTCCTGCCTCAACCTCCCAAGTAGCTGGGACTACAAGTGTGCACCACCATGCCTGGCTATCTTTGGTAGGTCATTTTTTAACAGTACCACACTACCATGCAAAGCAAAGACTGCCTGTATATACAAGTCCTTATCTGTATAGGTGCATGTAGGTTACTTTTTTTATAATAAAATTTTATAAAATAGGAGAAATCCTTGTCATAAATAACTATGGTCTCTAACAGCTATCTTAACTGAGTGTTAGAAAATCCCCTCTGTATGTGGAGATAAATGCTTATGCTTGGTTTTAAGAACCACATCTGTTATTTTCAAACACTTTCAAAAAAGAGAAAAGTACTACACCTACCTGTTTACCATTTAAACTAATAAAATTCACTATTTCACTTGACAAGCTTTGAATAGTAAGTCAGCTATCTGATTCCTCTAAACAGTCACTACAAGTGGTTCCCAACTAGTGTACGTCAGAATCACTTCAAAGGTTTGTTAGAGTACAGACTGCTGCCCTCTCCCCTCCCCAAATTTCTCTTTTTAGTAGCTTGGGGGACCAGAGAAGGCCTGAGAATTCTATCAAGTTCCCAAGTGATTTTATGCTGCTGATCTGGAGACTACACTTTGCAAACCACTGCATTCAGGCAATGCTGCTCAAATACTGTGTGTGTAAATCACTTTCTGCTTAAAACTCAGATTATGACTCACGTATGTTGGGTGTGCAGCTCCCAGGTAATGCTGATGTGGCTAGTCTGAGGACCATACTTTCAGTCACAAAGCACTAGAGGATCTGTGAATATATCTTTGAATTAAGCTTTTATTAAATCTTAAAAAGTTTCTAGAGGAATAGAATGGATGAATCATCTACTATTTCCAGTATATGCAGACTAGAGACTATACCTGGCACTGTAACATGACAGGGAGAGTAAAGGCAATGGTCGCCCCGGGGCAATGCCACATCACAGGACTGAAAACCACAATCACGAAGTTGAATGCAGAAAGCTCTTACACTGGCTAAGGCTTCTCTGCCATTGTTGTTCCAATGCCCCCTTAGAATTTCTGCTCTCCTCGACCCTTTGGTATGTGTCTCTTTACAAGTAGGTACTTTTATAAAATTCATAAAAGATTATATACCATACTTGGAAAGGAAAAATAAAACTTTTCACTGACTTACCAAGATGAAGCTAGAAACTAAAGCTCCTAATTTTTAGGGTAGAAAGCTGGCAGTGAATCAATTTGTTTACGTGGACTATGAATACAGGTGTGCTGTTGGTATTAAACTTAGTGCTTGATGCCCTGTTGGGGAACTCTAAGGATGGGTTTAAATAGCTAGTTTCCACAAACCTTAGTCTAAGCTCAACTATTCTTCATGAAACAGGATTCATAATATTTTTTTTTTGAGACAGAGTCTCACTTTGTTGCCTGGGCTAGAGTGCAGTGGTATCAGCCTAGCTCACAGCAACCTCAAACTCCTGGGCTCAAGCGATCCTCCTGCCTCAGCCTCCCGAGTAGCTGGGACTACAGGCACATGCCACCATGCCCGGCTAATTTTTTATATATATATTTTTAGTTGTCCAGATAATTTCTTTCTATTATTTTAGTAGAGACAGGGTCTCGCTCTTGCTCAGGCTGGTCTCGAACTCCTGAGCTCAAACAATCCGCCCACCTCGGCCTCCCAGAGTGCTAGGATTACAGGCGTGAGTCACCACGCCCGGCCCAGGATTCATAATTTAAACAAATTTTATTTTAAGCTTCCTATTTTCCCCTGCATTAAAAAAAATTTAGAGACATATCTGCAGGCATTAGCTGCAGACCCAAGCCAGGCCATCGTTGCTGCTCACCTGGTGGTCCTCAGCGACAGCATGCAGCTACCGCCCAGGGACTAGAGCACTACCCCCAGCAGCACACTCTTCAGCACTACCCTCAGAGGTACCAGGATCATCTATGACCGGAAATTCCTGATGGAGTGTCAGACCTCACCTGTGACCAAAACACCCCTTAGTGACCTGTCAACTACTCCTGGGGTCACCAGCCCTGCCAGGGATGACCCCCCCACACACACACACAAGCCAGCCAGAGCCACTTGTACCATGGCCCAGAAGGGGGCGAGTGGTGAAGAGTCACAGTTTGAGACAGACATTTAAAGAACCAGTCATAGGACGAAGCATTGCCTATGGCCCTTCTCAGGAGACAAGTCACACCTGCCAGGCCTTATGAAGGTCATACTGGGCAAGTGTCAGGTGTGGGGTCAGTCACTCCTGCCCTCTGCTCCCTCACACACCTGCCCTCCCTTCCTGTTTGTGAACACCAGCAGATACCTCCTTGTGTCTCTGCTGATGTAGGAGCTGCTACCCCAAGGGAAGTGGACCCCCACGAGCACACCCTGCAGGTAGACATGGACAAGGCCCTTCTGAAGCATCATCTGGCTCTTCCAGCCCTATCCTCTGGGGCACACTCACCTCTCCTTCCTTAGGTTGATGTGCCTGGGGAAGCTCCCCTCCCCTTCCTTCCCCAAGAAAGGAAATAAAAACCACCTAGGGCCAAAAAACAAAAAATGTACATACATTTCCAGAATTTTGGAAAAGTTCACTTTGCAGCAGCTGAATAGCAGATGGTCTCTGCGATGAGTTCCTTCTAGTCAAGTGCTGGATATACTTGGCTTGTACCGGACACCTTTTACTCAGGGATTCAGGTATCTGACCAGTTCTCAAACCTGTTAAAACTTCTGCTCGCTCCATCTCTGTTCCAAACGGCTGGAAAAGCTCCAGCAGGATCACACCCAAGCTGTACATATCTGACTGGAAAAAGAACAATAAGGGGAATTTACTAGTAAAATATGAAGTCAGAATAACATTTCCATTGCAATGTACCATCATCTCAAATAGGAGAGGATTTCTAAGAATGAGGATGTACAGTCACCTACAATGCAGGGAACAGAGCAGGATGGTTCGTCTCTCACAGAGGCAGGTGTCTGCCCTGAGCAAAAGGTGATCAAGACTTTCACAACCCTGTCTCTTTACCACAAACAGGGGCATCTCTGGGCTCGATGGTCAGGTGAAGGGCAGGGATAATCTCCACCACTCACAGCTGTCATGACCACACAACTGTCTTCACTACACCTTGACCATCAGGCCTGACCCAGAGAGAGTGCTATGAGCTCACTCCTGCTAGTGCCAGCTACAGGAAAGCCACAGAATGTCCCAAGTCCTACTCCAGTCTCACCTGTGCCTCCACTCATAATTAAGCATTCTTAGTAATATTTAACAAACTCAGCAAAAAATCTGTGCTACTTTTCCTAAAAATTTTTTTAGGAAGGTCTTTCCTAGATAGGATTTTAGGGGCAGCCATGTTTTTTTCTGGCCACTCTTTCCCAATCGCTAAAATGCTAAATGATTCATCAAAAGGAAGAAAATTCACTAGGCTGTTACTGTGAGGAAAGGATTTACTTTAGCATTTCTTCAAGGAACAACAGGGTTTAAAACTTCACGGTATCTTCCTTCTATTTCAAGGGAGTCAAGTGGCAGACTTATTTACCTAAGCTTGAAAACAGAGGAATGAAAGGCTGAATAGAGCCTTCCTGAATTCCAGCTTCATGAGGTGAATGGAGACATTTTCAAGGGAAAGTTCATTTCAAAAACGATGTGTGACATCCATGGATATAGAAATAGTAAAGTTGCCTTAAAAATGCAGTCAGATCCAAGGGCCAGGTGTGGTGGCTCACGCCTGTAATCCTGGTACTCTGGGAGGCCAAGGCTGGAGGATTGCTTGAACCAGGAGTTTGAAGTTGAACTTGAACCAGTTTGAGACCAGCCTGAGCAAGAGAGAGACCCCGTCTCTACTAAAAATAGAAAAAATTAGCCGGGCGTGGTGGCACATGCCTGTAGTCCCAGCTACTCAGGAGGCTGAGACAGGAGGATTGCTTGAGCCCAAGAGTGTGAGGCTGCTGTGAGCCAGGCTGATGACACGGCACTCTAGCCTGGGTAAGAGAGTGAGACTCTGTCTCAAAAAATAACAAAAATAAAAATAAAAATAAAAATGCAGTCAGATCCAATTGAAAAGTGAGGCTTCTTCTCAGGGCAGTTTGATGTAATAGATAACCTACAGTACTCAGTTATCTCCAAACACACCTCTACAATAGAACTTCTCCATTTAAGTGTACTGTTTGTTATTTACAATTTCAGAATAAAAGGGGGAAAAGCAACAAATACTACCTTGGCATCATACTCAGATCCTTCCAACTGTTCAGGTGAAGCATACAGACAAGTACCCACTCTGGAGGTATGTGACGGTATTCCTGTAATTTCAACATCCACATGTTAAACATTGTCGTGTTAACACTGTCAGCACTAAAGAACATTTACTAGAGCAGGGCATTTTAGCTCCTAAGGGAACAATGGTTGCTCTCTGACTTCATCTTACCTTTGCTATTAAATCTTTATGGTTCTCTTTAAATATTGACATGTTCAACCATATCTTTTTTTAATGCAAAAAAAAAACAAAAAAAACCCCAAAAACTTACTCTTCCCATTTCCGTTGGTCCAGTCTGTATTCTTGTGTATGATGTCTGTGCAGGCCAGACCGAAGTCTCCTATTTTTACTTGCTGATCAGGGCCATGAAGGAAAATATTTCTAGGCTATAAACAAACAGAAAAAAATCAATTCATTGGCTTTCTTAAAACAAATAGTAAAAACTTGTGAATGTTAAGAGTTTCCAACTCAGGAGCAAGCAGCCTCCTCAAAAGTTAAAAATTTGAGCAACAGTTCTCAAATTCGGCTGCACATTAGAATCACTGGGGAGAGTTGAAAAAAAAATCTCAATGTCCAAGCCTTTCCCCAGACCAACGAACCAACCACATCAGAACTCCTGGAGGTGGATGGAAGCATCAGTTTTATTTAAAAGTCCCATGGTGATTTCAAATTTGAGAACCATTAATGTAGAGCATACTTAACATACAAGAGCTTCCCAACCCTGGCTGTACATTACCTGAGAAGCTTTTAAAAACTACTGTCCTCTCCAAAGTCCAAAGACGTTGGTATTTCTTATGAAAGAATTTTGATATTTTTTAAAAGTTCCAGGTGATTCATATATTAGCCAGGCTTGGGAATGACTAGGTCACCCTAAATGGCTCTACTGAAGCAGCTGTTGCAGACCCAAAACATCCCCAACAGAAGTATTCCTATGCCAGTGAAAAACTGCACCTGTAATGGGGGGAGGGAAGATTCCACCAAAAACTAAGAAATACTTAGGTTAAAAGTTATTTTCTTACTTTATGTAAATAATTTTAGTTTTTTATTTTAATGTATAAATTCTCCCATTTTAGCTTTGTCAGTGTTTGAACTACTGTTGAACTGGAAGAGAAAACAGAAATAAAGGTATAAGATCATAGTTTGGATATGTTTTTTGTGAGTGAGTGGAAAAGCCTAAAAACTGTGCTGACATTTGACACTCTATCATCAAGGAACAAGGTCTGAAAAGGTCTGGCTCCAATATAAAAATCAATTGTGTTCACAGATACAATTCTCTCAACAATTCTAGAACAGTTCCAGAACTGCACTGAGGGAATCATCATAAAGAGGCTGAAACTGACCAACTCCGTAACATATTCCTCTGAACTCTTAAGTCGTCACTGTTAAGTTTTTCTCATGGGAAATATAATCAAGAGAGAAAGTAGAGAGCCGGTCGTCGACAGTGCCAAGTCCCTGGAAGACAGCCCATCCATAGCACTTCACACGAAACTCTATGAGGCCATAATGAGAGAAGACTGCCCTACGATCAAGGCACTCCTAAGAAGTCACCCCGTCAACCAGCCCATGACCATTCTGGCCAACTTCACCAATTACAGATTATTTCTGAACCAGGTACACTCTTTTCTGGTCAGACATTTTTAGAAAAGACAGGATGCTTAGGAAGGAGCATGATCTAATCCTCACGAACTCACTAAACTCCTCACTGCCCTTACAATGGACAATACATCTCCAGTTTACTCCACACTTAGAACAGTGCTCCCTAAGTCTGCAACCCCTGCCTTCCACTTAACATACATAAACTGAAGTGAGGAAAGACTAGGACCTGTCTGGTTGGAAGAAAATTAATGTCATCCTCTCAAATATACCCATGGTGACTGTGTCTGTATAATGGAATTATTTTTTTCTTTTTAATACATACTTCTTCATTTTCTAAATGTTTATACAGTGATTACTGCTTTTATAATTAAAATTTTTTTTCAAAAAGGAAGTCACCCTCCCCTTCATCCCACTCTCTCCTCTTATCTTGTAGTCATAGTATAAAACCACTACTTATGTATATATATTTTAAGAACTGGCATAAACAGCTCTGCTAATCATAGACAGAACATATGCTGCATTATCTTTAAAAACTCTGAAGATGCAGGTTTTACTGCTGATAACGTGACTTTGGCAAAGCCTTAAAAAATACAACACCTATTTGTCAATCACCCTGCAGGTTAATTTAAGAACTACGTGCCTTCATACCAATTACCATTAATATTATACTAGGTCTCTTCACAAGAATCAACTTCCAAAACTTTGAGTGTCTTTTCTGTTTCCTCAGTAAACTTGCCTTTCTGTAAAACACAGACTTTATTAATGTGAAATTCACTGTTTTGGTCATTTAAAACAGGCAACAGAAAGGAAAATTTCAGTGCACATACAAGAAAAATATTGAACCCATAAGATCCTAAATAAATGTGTATTTCCTTTGAAATGGCAAGCTACACAAATACTATTTTTAACTACACAGGGCTAATTGTAACGTGTTTTCCTTTCCCCCTGAAGCAGACACAATCTATCATCCCCATTCATCTGGCTGCCGAATATCGCAAGGCACAAAGTTTGCTTTGTTTGTTAGAACACGGTGCTGACCCAGAAGTAAGGTAAGTTAATGCGGCAGACAATCATTTCTACATGAGGATATACCTGATTTAGATTTTTTCAGTTCATAACATTTTCCAGTTATGTCTGGACTTGTTCATTTTTCATGGGTTATGGACTACAAATTATCATCTTTTGAATGAACCAATTTCTTTAGTAATTAGATGAGATACTCTGAAATGCTGGAACACAAGCCAGTCAGCCAAATTAGTGCACAGTGAGTATTAAGTACTCAACAGCGGTGTTGTGGAAAATGCACTAAGTCCTGGTCATGGCCCTCAAGAAGTTTAACAACCTAAGTTAGACATGAAAAATTAGAAAATATAAATAGACAATGGATTTTCTTGTTTATTATCCTCCACTAGAAGGTAAGCTTAGTGAAAGAGAAGTTTATCTTGCTCACCACTTTATCTCCACCACCTAAACCAAAGGCCTAACACTTAGTAAGTACCCAGGACATACTATTTGAATGAATAAAAGAATTATACGTTATAAAAATAATAGGTTGGGCATGGTGGCTCACACCTGTAATCCCAGCACTTTGGAAGGCCGAGGAAGGAGGATAGCTTAAGGCCAGGAGTTCAAGACCAGCCTAGGCAACACAGCAAGACCTTGTATCTACCAAAAAAAAAAACCCACTAGCCTAGCATGGTGGCACACACCTGTAGGCCCAGCTATTTGCAAGGCTGAGGTGGAAGAATCGCTTGAGCCCAGGAGTTTGGTTGCACTTAGCTATGATGCCACCACTGCACTCCAGCTTGAGCTACAGAGCAAGACCCTGTCTCAAAAAAAAAAAATAGAACTTCTTGCCCCAAATCCTTGCCATGCTACACAAGAACTCACTTGATCTGTCTTGCTCTCAATCTCTCCCTGAGCACCCCACCCCAGCTCTGCAAGTCCTCTCAAAGTCCTTCTACATGTAGAATCTAGACCATCACAGACTCAGCCCATCTTCCTCAGGGCACCCTTTCCTACCTTTCACACCACATACAGTACGTGAGGCTTCTATACCTCTCTGGAACTTAGCCTACTTCCAATATTTAGTTGTTTGACTATGTTTCATGTCTGTCTTCCACATTAGACTATTAGCCCTACAAAGGTAGGGACCATTTGCTGTTTCACCATATCCCCAGCCTAGGGCTTCATGATAAATAAATATATGTGAACTGAAACCATTTTCTAATTTCTGTGAAACAGATTTTCATAAAAAATCTTCCCCTTTCTCTGCCAAAACAAAGGAATTTTGGAAGCAGTGCTGAGACATGAGGGCCAAGTTATAACATGCTGATCCACCTGGGTTGGAGCAGGGAATGATGATGAAATGGCTTCACTAACTTGAGAATGACCCTAGGTCTTCAGATTCAACCCTTACAATCTATTCCACTACCTACACACTTGATCTGAGTAAATGGGAGTTCTGGCCCTTCATGGCTCACTTCTATGGTAATAACAGATCATACTCAAGTCCACACAATTTCACTGAATGCCTACAAACTCAGCCCAGCACTGTGCAAGGAAACAACTAAGATCTAGCCTCAAAGGGGCCACAGTCCTAGCAGGAACATCAAAGGTGAAATAGGCTGCTCAAAGAAGCTGGGCCCCACCATGTAGTGATGCATCCCACCAAATATCCAAAAAACCCTGGGGTAGCCTGGGAAATTACTCAACAATGCAGACTTTGAAACACTGCTTTAAAGTGTATTACTTTAAATAAACATTGCCTTCTTAAGCTTAATTCTACACGTAGAGCCATTCCCACTGTGAATTTAACGTAATGTGTGACCAATACCTATTCTAGGGACACGAGAGGCCTCACCACACTCCACTTGATGCTGCTGCACTGGCCAATCACTTCTAACACATGGACAAAACCGGGCAACAGAATCCAAAGAATCCTGACAGACATTCAGAATAATGCTGTGATGTGTCTCCGCATCTTGTGTGAACATGGAGCTCAAGTTAATGCTCGAGTAGACAACAGCAACAATCATTCACCACTCCACCTGGCCATAACATATGGGACCTATCCAGTTCTCTCCATTTTGGCCCAGAATGGCGCCCATGTCAATGCTGTTAATGAATCCAGCATGACACCCCTTCACATGGCTGCAGATATCCTGAACAGGGAGATGATGGAAACACTCATTGCCTGTGGAGCAAATGTGAACTGTGCTATCTCTTCCACGGGGAACACGGCCCTGAAGCTGGCGGTGTGCAAGGCATCAAGCAAAGCAGGCCGGCTGCTGGGAGTGGGGATGAGCTGCATCCGTTTGCTGCTAATGCACGGAGCCAAAGTCAATGCCCAGGACCACGAAGGTCAGACAGCTATCCACGAGGCATGTTTTGGAGGCAGGGGGACAATAATCAATCTCTTGCTCGAATTTGAAGCAAATGTTAATATTTTAACAAGAAATGGGGAATCTCCGATTTATATGTACCTTCGGAGCAGTTCCAATGTAAGAGATAGGACACTTCTTGCCAGGCTACTTTATCACACTTATCCTTTAAGGCTGACCAATAAGCAAGGGATTCTACCTGCAGGAATCATGCTACCAGAATTCCATCTATTAAGGGAAACCCTAATAAAGCTATCTCAAAACCCTTTATCCCTAGAGGATATCTGTAAAAGAAACATCAGAAATACTTATGGTGAGAAATACAAACAACTCTTGAAGCAACTTCTCCCAGTGAAGATATGGAATTCCATATACTGTTATTATGACGTAGCTTACCTCTTGAAATAAGCTCTCAAAGTTTCACAGTGCCAGAGAATTTCAGTAACTCAAATTGCATTTTCTGGCTAGACGTGCCAGAAAATACTTAACCTGTCACCTTTTACATCACAAATGTACAAACTCTGGTTCTTAAACCTTTTTCAAAAAATAAAGTGATTTGCATATTAACTTTTTTATTCCTAAATTTTCTTTTAAATGTCTTTTTCTATGATTTAATTTTTGCCTGAAAAGTAAGCAAATTAATTGAAAACTCTTCAGCCAAAGAAATAAACATATTTTCTCTTTTCTTGATAGTCTTCTATAGGTAAAAATTAGAACAGTCATTATAGATTTTTTTAAATAGCAAAAAAAATTTCCCATGTTTACTTTCCTTTAAGATGGATAATTACAGAAACAGAATTTACCTCTAGGGCTGCAGTAATATATGAGCATTTCTGTCAGCACTAAATATGTTATATTAGTACTCAGGGCACACCACCTGAAAAACAGTACTCATACTCCACAGAGAATTTTCGAATGCCCAAAAATTATTGCTTTAAAATTCAATCTAGGCCGGGCGCGGTGGCTCACGCCTGTAATCCTAGCTCTCTGGGAGGCCAAGGCGGGCGGACTGTTTGAGCTCAGGAGTTCGAAACCAGCCTGAGCAAGAGAGAGACCCCGTCTCTACTAAAATTAGAAAGAAATTAATCGGACAACTAAAAATATATAGAAAAAATTAGCCGGGCATGGTGGCGCATGCCTATAGTCCCAGCTACTCGGGAGGCTGAGGCAGGAGGATCGCTTCAGCCCAGGAGTTTGAGGTTGCTGTGAGCTAGGATGACGCCACGGCACTCACTCTACCAGGGCAACAGAGTGAGACTCTGTCTAAAAAAAAAAAAAAAAAAAAAAAAAAATTCAATCTAAGGTTTTCATGTCTGGACCTATGGAATGATGATTTATATACCAGTGACGATAACCTTCTAAGTAAATGGATTAGGGCACATAATCTCATTTCATTCAATGAACCAACATCAAGTCATTCCTGATAAGAAGCTAGCACTGCTTTCAATGATTTCACCACCCCCCACTTACCTTCAGATCTCTGTGTACAATTCCCATGTTATGTATGTAAAATACACCTTCTACCAATTCTTGAAAAATTTTCGTTGCAACACTGGCCATAACATAAGGACCTTGAAGTGAAAAAATAGTTTTCTCTTATTTTTTTTTTAAATTATTACATTAACATCTAAATGTTAATGTGTTTCTGAACACATTAACATCTGACTCTTAGCAACATTCAGATTTCAACAGTCAACACTCCAAAATGGTCTAAAACCTAGAAATAAGCAGAAAGGGCTTCTCAGCTAGCAAAGAAACCACCACAAACTAGCACCCACAGTCAACAGACTTTGCCACCAAAAAGAGAATACCTCTATTTTCATTCAGTGCCCCTGTATTACTTTTAAGTAATTCTCAGGCATCAGGTGATTAGATTACATGAAGTTTAAGTCCCTTCAACCCTTGACATCCTGGGGTTTAATGCTAATAAACCCGGTGTCCTAGCCCACTGTGGATTAAAGACATTATTACAAATAATGGAGTAAGAAAAAAGATAAATTATGTTAGCTCAAGGGGTAAGCTTCTATTATCCAGAATGCCTCATTTTCCAAAAATGACTGACATATAAAGTATATAGCAAAAAAAAAAAGGTAAATGAATTAATTCATCTATTAATATGATGACATAATAAGTCAATTTAGACGGTAGAAAGATTTTATAGGACAAAAGCAAACAAAAATTGATTTAAAAATCCTGGAGTTTTCCCACCAAGTTAATAATATCATAATAAAAGCTTAATACCTCAGTCATTTTATATATAATTTTTTTTTTTTTTTTTTTGAGACAGAGTCTCACTGTGTTGCCCGGGCTAGAGTGCCATGGCGTCATCCTAGCTCACAGCAACTTCAAACTCCTGGGCTCAAGCGATCCTTCTGCCTCAGCCTCCCGAGTAGCTGGGACTACAGGCATGTGCCACCATGCCCGGCTAATTTTTTCTATGTATTTTTAGTTGTCTAATTAATTTCTTTCTATTTTTAGTAGAGACAGGGTCTCGCTCTTGCTCAGGCTGGTTTCGAACTCCTGAGCTCAAACAATCCTCCAGCCTCGGCCTCCCAGAGAGCTAGGATTACAGGCGTGAGCCACCGCGCCCGGCCAGTCATTTTAAATCATAAAACTTAGGAGGCTAAAATGGGAGGATTGCTTGAGCCCAGGAGTTCAAGACCAGCCTGGGCAACAAAGCGAGACCCCATATCGATTAAAAAAAAATCACAAACCTATTGTTTACCTTCAAGAACAAGAACATTACATGCTCCCATCTCCTTAAATGATCCTAGTTGGTTTCATAACTCATATCAATTCCACACTAAGAACAAGCATGCCCTTTTACAGTATCTAACATATACTTGGGCAAGTACCTTAGAAGACAGAAAACTGTGAGTAAAAGCAATGGTTCAACTTATAATACCCTGTTACGACTCCCCCTCACAGTGAAGTGACCCACCTCCTATCTGGGTAGAAATGCAAGGAAGGCTTTTGACTTCCACAACTATTCAGAAAACTGCCTTCCTTTGGTCAGTCTTTAAAATACATGGTTCTCATTGTAACCCACCTTACATATCCAAACAGCAGGCAACAGTTAGAGGATTCAGTAACCATATACAGACCTGACCTGGTGGGAACAGTCTGCACTGACTCAGTGCCTTCTCTATGCCTGACAATCCTTTACACTTAGTGTTTTAACCCTCACAACAACCCTATAAAATAAGGGTAATCCCATTTTACAGATGAGGAAACAAACCAAGAGCTGTTACCTGACTTGCCCAAAATCTTGCGGCTGGTGAGTACAAGAGCCAGGATACAAACCCAAGTCTGTTGCTCACCGGATTGTTGCAAATGGTGAAATGTACAAATAGAATTGATGGAAAGCTATAAACACAGTGCTAGACTACTACAAAGTTAAAACTTTTTATTTTAAAATATTTTTAAAAGAAAAATATACACCATGCTAGCAGCATCAAACATATTTTGCCTTTGTTGTTTTGATAGGTTTACTGTACTGATGGTATACAGTTCTCATCCTGTACTCATTACTTATTTTTCAAATGGAAGTTTAAAGATCAACAATTGCATACAGGGCTTTAATAAACCATTTTCCTTCTCATAAAGACATCTGCACATAAACTACAATGCTCATACAGCAAGCAAAGGATACACGTTTACAGGGAACTAAAAATACCCAACACAATACTTGCCATGACTGAACTGGACAAAGTTCTGGCGTGTCCTTCTAATGACATGGCAAACATAGAAGCAGCACTAGGGTGTGTCCAGGAGCTGCTGGAGGAAGACATTATGTTTCTGTCTTCCCACTGGCAGCTAGTCTAAGACTCTGAGTAGGTTAACTGATCTATGTTTTAGACCAAATAAAGGAGTGAATGGCAAGTGATTAATGACTGATATTTACTTGAGTCTTTACTTAAAATCAGGTCACTCTCATCTGCTTTTTTGATAATCTAATACAGTCAATTGTTTTTCTTTGTTCACTTGTGTCTGATCTTTCAGTGTAAAATACAGTCATTTTAAACTTCTGCTACACGTAAGAATCAACAAGAGAATTTTCAAAAAAATACCAAAGGCCAAGACCTATCCCAGACCAATTGTATAAAAATAACTGGTGTGGTCCCAGACAACAGCTTTTTAAAAAACTGATTTTATTTTTTAGAATAGTCTTAGATTTACAGAAAAACTGAGAAGATACTGAAGTTTTCCCAAAGAATCCATACCCCATTTCCCCTGTTATTAACACCTTACATTAGTATGGTACATTTATCACAGTCAATGTACCAATACTGATATATTGTATTACTAACTGAAGCCCAGAGTTTATTCAGATTTCCTTAGTTTTTACCAGTTTCCTTTCTCTGTCTCAGGACCCCATTCAGGATATACCACATTACACTGAGTTGTCATGTTTGTTTAGGTACCCCTGGCCTGTGACAGTATCTCAGCCTCTCCTTGTTTTTGATGACCTTGACAGTTTTGAGGAGTATTGGTCAGATACCGTATTTTGTAGAATGTTCCTCGACTGGGATTTGTCTGATGTTTTTCTCATGATTAGACTAGGATTATGGATTTTGGAGAGGAAGACCACAGAGATAAAGTGTCCCTCTCACCACATCACATCAAGGGGGCACCTGCTCCCCACATGACTTGTCACTGATGATGCTCACCTGGATCACGGCTAAGGTGGCATCTATCAAGTTTCTCCACTATAAAGTTATAGTTCTCCACAGCAAAGCTGATCTTTTTTTATTGACAACATCTTTTTAAAAGTTCCCCAGGTGATTCTAATGTGCAGCCAAAGTTGAGAACTAGTGTTACAATATTTTAAAGAATCAGTCAACAGAGTACTCCTAGAAGGATACATAACTGTGGGGTCTGTGGGGAGAGGGAGGCTGGATCTTAACAGAAACAAACTTTTTACCATATACCCTCTATACGGAATTTCTTTTTATAAGAGTATCACACTTTCAGGTTAAAAAAAATAAAAACAAGTATTTAATTTTGTCTCTTAAAAAATGAAAAGGGGACCTTAAACCCCCTAAGTGAACAAGAAATACATTTCTATTGTGTTAAAAAATTTTTTTAGACCTTTTCTCTCCACAAACACTAACCTAAATTCCAGTCTATTACTGCTTAATTATCAACAAACTACGTATCTGTCAGACAAAAGTCACTTCCAAATACCTAATTGTTTTTGAAAAATGTTGAAATAAGCAAAATTGTTTCTTTGGGTTCCATTGGGTTTTTTTGTTTTTAGTCTTTTTTTTGTTTTTAGTTTTTTGTTTTTAGTCACCTGGAGGCAATTCCTACATTAGATGGAGAAGATTTGATTTTGTCTTTATTTCCCACCCCAGTATGTACAGACCCACACGGTACTTACAGGCAGATTCATCCACACACTCTCGACCCCGCTTGTTCCTCTCGGCTATCCAATCCCACAGGGAGAGCTCACACAGCTGCATCTGGATGTGCAGCATCAGGTGATACTGCACCTAGGAGAGGACACACTGCTGACTCCCATCTTTGCAAGATTCACTCACATTATTCATTTAGCTAACAAATACCTGCCTACTCTAGACCAAGCACCATGACTACCCGCTGAGGACACAGGCCTGCCCAAGAAGTGCAGAGTCTAATGAAGGAAACAGATAAATAGAGTGATAATTAAAACTATGTCATAATACAAGGAGGAAAGAGTAGGCCAGGCTGAAGTCAGGCAGGGGTCCAATGACAGAAGCTCTCCAGTGTGACAATGAACAACTGGTCCTAAAACTGGTCTGCTCACTACATAAAGTTTTAAAAGCTAAGATAAAGTATCAAAGAATGGCTATATGGTATTCTGCTACTCTATGTATTCACCAACATATATATACTGTGGCTGGCTTCACATTGTACAAAACTAGTAACTTAGTCAAGAAAAAGGTAAACAAACATTAAGTTCACTATAGCCACTTATTTAGGCATCCAAGACAATTTTCCAAATCTAATGCAGAGAAATAAAACAATTCTGATTAAAAATCCCTCAAACTCAACTCCTTTGGACTCAGATGAACCAGCTCAAAGTTCTTGTCATTAAAAAAGTATGCACAGAAACATATATACACATATATATATTTTTTTTTTTTAAGATAGGGTCTCACTCTGTCACCTAGGTTAGAGCACAGTGGCATCATCATAGCTCACTGCAACCTCCAATTCTTGGGCTCAAATGATCCTCCTGTCTCAGCCTCCCAAGTAGCTGGGACTACAGGCACATGCCACCACGCCTGGATAATTTTTCTGATTTTTGTAGAGAAGGGGTCTCTCTCTTGCTCAGGCTGGTCTTAAACTCCTGGCCTCAAGCAACCCTCCTGCCTTGGCCTCCCAAAGTGCTAGGATTACAGGCGTGAGCCACTGTGCCCAGCCTGAAACATGTATTTCTTGACAAAAATTAATTCTGCATTGTGTATACACAGACAGTATACACAGTTTTAGAATCCTAACAAGATAGATTATGTGTAGACTCTGTTAATGTTCAAATTTTTTAATACTAATACTCAATAATACTGGTATAAGTATGGTGAAAGTCTGACCCCCATATCAGTATAACCCTCACAAGAGTATCCTGAAAACTAAAACTATAAAATAAAATAAATTAAAAAAATAAAAAAGAGTATTCTGAAAACTGAGCTGGTAATCCCACTGGGACTCACCAAAAGCCATGCTCAAAAATCATTCTGCATAATTTTTTTTTTTCAAAGACAGGGTCTCACTCCCTTGCCTAGGCTAGAGTGTAGAGATGTAATCATAGCTCACTACACCCTCGAACTCCTGGCCTCAAGTGATACTTCCATCTCAGCTTTCCAAGTAGCTGGAACTACAGGGGCACACCACCATGCCCAGCTCATTTTTTAAAATTTTCTGTAGAAACAGGGTCTTGAAATGTTGCCCAGGCTGGTCTCAAACTCCTGGCCTCAAGTGATTCCTCCTGCCTTTGCCTCCCAAAGTACTAGGATTATAGGCATGAGCCACAGAGCTCAGCTTTTTTTTTTTTTGCATAAATATATATTTATAGCATGATGCTAACATGCAATAGAAATAGAATGCAAATGAGGTTTCCAACTCCACAGTACATATACAAGAATATCTACCTAGAGGTGCAAATGACCCAGTCAGGGAAGTGAGAAAGGATTAGTAGGAGTTAACTAAGTGAAGGAGGGAAAACCAAATACAAAGGCTGTTTGGCAAGGGAATGTGGCAAGTACAAGAGACTGAACACAGGGCAGAAGAGCCGGAGCTGAGAGAGGCAGGAGCACGAGGTAGGAAGTCCGCTGAGGAAGAGGGAAGGCCACGCGTAATCACAGCCCTTCATACCATTACAGGGGTAAACATCAACTTGGTAGGTTCTGGGAAAGTAATCTACCTCTGTCTGCCCCAACAAGTTGAAGTTTTCTTCAGAAGATTCCTCGGTAGATGTGAAATCCTCTTCTAGGTCTGAATTATGCCTAAGTGGCAGCTGCTGCTGAACGATTGATCTGGTAGACAAATCAGCCAGGCCATTTTTTTGGAGCTCAACAGATGATTCCAACTCACTGTTGTCTCTTATGACTAAATTGGTGGTATAGTTCACCAATTTGTTATTCTGATTTTCAACATCAGATTCTCCAAAGGGTTTTTCTTTTTCTGAGGTAAACTCGGCAAAGATAATGGATGAGCTACTACTTTCGTCATTTTTAACACCATATTCATCTCTGGAGAAGAAAACAGTAAAGACAAAAGTCAATGTAAAAAGAGATCAAGAGTAACTCAACTGTTTCTGCAAGGTACGAATCTTACAGGTAAGCTTCTGGAAAAAATGGCATCAAATTTGTCTAGCAGCAACATTTATTTAAAATACTGAAATATCTTACAGGAGGAAATAATTTAACATTTTGTAATGAAAATAAGCAAAAAGAAAATCTAAAACACTCCTCCTTGTAGCCAAAGACAAAGATAGCCCAATGCAGGTGACAGTGGGTAATGTCCTAATGTTTGTAGACGTACACACCAGTCCACATACCTCTCTGCCTGGTCAGAGAGCATTTCCAGAGATGGCAACTGAATGGAAACTCTGTCTGCTGAGTAAAAACAAAAAAACAAAAATCTTCAAACAGCCCAGTTTTCCAATTTATAGTAAAAGGCAGAGTTAAAATATATAAACAGTACAAATGAAACTATATGTCTAAAAATGTCATGACATTCTGACAAAATACATACAACAAGTTTATTCAAATGACTGGCACATGTTAGAAACTATAAAAACAGAGCTGTTCAACTGTAAGAGGGGTCAGCAAACTTTCTCTAGAGCAGCGGTCCCCAACCTTTTTGGCACCAGGGACCAGTTTCGTGGAAGACAATTTTTCTACGGATGGCAGTTGGGGCTGGGGGGTGGTTTCAGGATGATTCAAACACACTACATTTATAGTGCAGTCAAACCTCTCTGCTAATGATAATCTGTATTTGCAGCTGCTCCCCAGCACTAGCATCACTGCTTCAGCTCCACCTCAGATCATCAGACATTAGATTCTCATAAGGAGTGAGTGACTTGGACCCTCACATGCAGATTTTACAGTAGGGTTTGAGTTCCTAAGAATCTTATGCAGTGCTGATCTGACAGGAGGCAGAGCTTATGTGGTGATACCAGCAATGGGGAGCATGGGGAGCGGCTGTAAATACAGACAAAGCTTAGCTCACTTGCCCACGACTCATCTCCTGCTGTGCCTGCGCCCGGTTCCTAACAGGCCGCGGACCAGTCTTCGGTTGGGGACCGCAGCTCTAGCGGATCTGACTGTAAGTATTTAAGGTTTTGGGTGCCCTATGGGACTCTGCTGTGACTACTCAATTCTGTTATAATGTAAAAGCAGCCACACACAATATATAAATGAATGAGCCTGTGTTCTAATAAACTTCACTGACACTGAAATTTTGGATTTCATTTCATTTTCTCAAAATATTCTTATTATTTCTTATAACTACTTAAAAATATAAAAACCATTCTCAGCTGTAGTACGTACAAAAACAAGGGCAGGCCAGATTTGGTCCCTGGGCTAAAGTTTGCCAACCCTTCAACTACTATATCATCAAAAACCACTCACCTTGTGGCTGGACCACATGAACATGTTCTATCCATGTGGTGTGATAGCCTACGATATTGGGGTGCTGAAGACCTGCCAGCACCTTCACTTCCCTTAGTACCTAAAAAAGAAATATAATTAGATTTGACTTTTGCTGACAACTTGTTAAATGCTCATGGAATCAAATACTCCTTGTTACAAAGCAAAACACAGACCACCCGACTTAACAATGGTGCAAAACTGTCAGAATTTTCAACGTACTTTGAATTTTGATTTTTTTCCCAGGCTTGCAATATGCAGTGCATGAGATACTCAACACTTTATTATAAAATAGGCTTTGTGCCAGTTGATTTTGTCCAACTGCTGGATAATGTAAGTTCTAACCACATTTAAAGTAGGCTAGGCCAAGCTACAGTGTTCAGTAGGTTAGGTATATTACACGCATCTTCAAATAACAGTATTTTCAACATAACCTCATAAGATGAGGAGGATATATAATAAAAATCTCTCTGTACAGGGAATCCAAACAATGTTAAAATAATGAAAATATTTTTTGTGAGAGACAAATGGCAATTATTAGAGCAACTAAATAATTTACATTTATATATAGCACTTTATACTTTTTATACCTCACTTGTCATCATTCTCTTATTTGATTCCCATGCCAGTCTTCCAAGGTAACTAAAACCACTGCTGTTATGGCTATTTCAGGGCGGGAGACAGAGCGACTCAGAGGACTAGGCGATTTGCCCAGGACCACACAGCATGTCAGGGAGCAGACTGGGACCCGAACTGGGCTCCTATTTTTTCATAACTAACTATCTTATATATTAATCATTTATTTTAAAAATTAATTTCCACAGCAATGACTCTGAAATGTGGTCAGTCTGGAGTGCCTATAAAAAATTACATCAAATAAAAATTTAGTTTTGATGTTTACTATACTTTATTGTAACCCTATTCTTAGTAAACTGGCAGTCCGTACCACCTACTATTTGCCAAATATACAAACACACACATATAACTCTTCCAAAAGGAACTAAATACACAATTGTTCAAAATAAATAATTTTTAAAAATCATACCTTCATGCAATCCGTTTTAGTTGCACCCTTAATCAGGATTTTTTTAATTGCATAATACTGACCATCTAATTTATTCCTGACCTAAAAAGTAGAAGACAAAGCAAATTGTGTCATTAAATTCTAATCAGATAAAGAAGTTCTTTTAATCTGAGTTTAGATAATCCAAACTAGCCAAAAAGATAAAATTAAGCTAAAGACATAGCTCCTTACTATGTTCAGAGAAGCCAGCCCTAGTCAGCTAGACTATAAGCTTTTCAAACTGTATTGACAGGCCAACCCCTATTAATAGAAGCCCTAGGGCTGAATGACAGGGATGTTAGCAAAGGGCTATGCAAGGCTCAAAACACAGTAGCACATTTTTTAGTAACATATTTTTAATAAAAATTAACTACAGAACAAAAATTCAAGGTTTCCAGAATCCACCTAAAATATCAACATGGTTAGGAAAAAATTAGAATCTGCCCACTTCCCCGTAAATGACAAATCTTAATGAAAGTAAGTATACATGATTTCCAGGAATTTTCCTTTGAGCACTTCAGATAACAATAATGAAAACAACCTCTGAGAGTACACTTATTTACAGAAGAGAAGGTCAAAACCCGTATGTGGAAAACAACCTTGTACACTCTTCCATATCCACCTTTTCCTAAGATGGCAAGCTCTTCAAATTCATTTAAGTAACGTGAAGTCTGTGCTTCAAAGGCTACTTCCTTTGATCTAAAAGTTAAATAAAAACAATTAATTGACATTAAAACATGAGAGAATCAGAATGTTCTAGAATAGTTCACGCTCACTTTATCACTAACCTGAAAAACCTCCTTTACCACTAAATTGTGACAATGTGGAAAGGATGAGCTAAAATGAAATGTTTCCTCTCTAAGAAGAAAACACTGGCTAAACAAATCAACAGTGTAATAAAAATAGCAAGGAAGTCATTAAGCTAATTTCCAGTGTTTTACCAGTAATTAGCTGAACTCGCTAATAAATTTACTTAAATTTCTGTTCCTTTTGGTTAGAAATGGGGTCTCAATATGTTGTCCAGGCTGGTCCCAAACTCCTGGCCTCAAGCAGTCCTCCCACCTCGGCCTCCCAAAATGCTAGAACCACAGGCGTGAGCCACCCCACCAGGCTGTGATTTCTTTTGAATAGTTTAGTCTTTGCATAATCAAAAAAGTACAACACATACCTGATTTTCTGGATATGGGAAATATCCTCACAAGGATCCTAAAACCAAAAACATATTCTGAAAAAGTATTTTGAAAACTTTCAAGGAGTAAGGAATCTATCAAAATTCAATGTCACGTTAACAGCCCCAAATGCACAAACAATATTTAAAAACAAACCACTGGCTTCTTCGATATTACTTAAGAGTTTACAACTGAAAATACTTCAAAGCTGAGACTTTACCAAGGAGCTCCATGAGCGAACAATGTTGACGTCACCTTCAATATACATGCAGAAACTGCCCCATCTTCTCTTGCTTGTATAATGTACCCGTCTCCCTGCTTCGGCCTGTGCCCCTCAGTCCACTCTCAACACAGGAGCTGGAGTGACCCCATTAAAATCCAAGTCAGATTATGTTATTCCTCTGCTCAAAATCCTACAAACTCCTGCAATCCTCTGCTCAAAATCCTGCAAAATCTGCTTCCCATCTTACTCTGAGTAAAAACCAAAGACAATAAAATGACTTCAAGATCCTGCTCCAAAAGTCCCCTCTCTTCCCACTTCCCCAGCCCCCTTTGCTTACTCCACTCTAGTCACATAGCTGCCTTGCAGCTCCCCAAACATGGCAGCACACGGCCACCTCAGGGCCCTTGCAATTACAGTTGACCCTTGAACAACACAGATTTGAATTTCGAGAGTCCACTTATGCACAGATTTTCTTTTCAATAAAAGTTACACTGAGTGTGCCTGCCTCCCCTTCCACCTCCTCCCACCTCTGCCATCCCACCCTGCTCTTCCTCCTCCTCCTCAGCCTACTCAATGTAAAGACCAGGAGGATGAAGACCTTTATGATGATCCATTTCCACTTAGCAAATATATTTTCTTTTCTTTTCTCTAGCTTACTTATTGTAAGAATACAGGACATAATACATAAAACACATAAAATACACATTAATCAACTGTTACTGCTGTTGGTAAGGCTTCTGGACAACAGTAGGCTATTAGCAGTTAAGTTTTTGGGGGAGTCAAAGTTACATGAAGATTTCTGACGGGGTAGGGGTCGGTGCCCCTAACCCCGTGTTGCTCCCAGGTCAGCCGTACTGTTCCTCCGCCTAGAATGCTTTTCTTACAGATGTCACCATTGTCTCTGTGAGGCCCGCCCTGGCTACCCTGTACAAAATTCACACAGCCCCTCCCAACATGGTCTCAGTCCCTTCACTACTTTACGTTTCCCCTTTATGTCATCACCATCTAGCATTCCATTTTTTTTTTCTGTTGTTTACTGTCCCCTCATCAGAACATAAGCTCCACAAGGACAGAAATTTTTGTCGATTTTGTTAACTGCTTTAACCTAGGCACCTACAAAAGAGCCAAACACATATTAATCAGTCAATAAACACTGTTGGGTCAACAAAGATTATGTTTTTAAAAACAGGTTTTATAATTAAGATTTCATAATGCTTTAATATAGCTCTCTTGAAATCAAAATCTATTTTTGTCATACAGAAAGCACAGTTTTTAGGGCTTACCTGACGAACTCTCTCCTTAGCAGACCTCATTAAATGAGTAATAGCTCTGTTGTGATGTAGTCTCAATGAGCTAAACTCATCACTACAAGTGAAGGAAGACAGAAGCCCCATTTTGATAAAGGTCTGACAAAGTACTATAAAAACAAAATGGAAAACTATTATTAGAAAGGCCATCGATAAGATGGCAATTTTGAAGAGTACACAGAGAATAAAAACTAATAATTACAACACACGCACAAAATTCTGTAAGAAAAAAGTTATGTTTATATACACCTTATACTTAGAGCTTGATTCTCAAAGAGAAGGAGCAATTGGTATATTCACTGATTAGGGGGCACATCTATAATTACTTATCTTATGCCACACAGTCATTTGTTTACCACACCTAGTCAGTAAAGTACTAGGCTCTGTTTTAAAAAAAACGGTGGGGGAAGCGGAGGGGAGAGGTAAAAACCTACCTAATCAGGTACAATGAACACTATTTGGATGATCGGCACACTAACAGGCCCAACTTTAAGTATTATAAAATGTATCCATGTAACAAAAATATTTGTACTCCCTTAATATTTTGAAATTTTTTTAAAAAGGGCAAAAAAAACTGTAAACAGTCTTCTGATATTCCACACAGTATACTTTCAAACAGGGAGTAAGATAAGAATAAAGATAGGAGTAGAAACATATGGTTTTAGAATGAACAATAAATGTATTAATTGTTCTTTTCTATGATGGGATATCTTTAACCAACTTACAAAGAGCACATACTAGATGTGTGTATAGCCCAAACACCAGGCTCCTCAGAAAAAGAAGCTTCTACAGAGGTGCCTTGGCTTTTACTCATTCCAAGAAATAGGGACGCCACAAAGGACACTGTTTCCACATTGAAAACTCTCCATTTAGATTATCCACTAACTAAATAAATCATAAAAACATTTATTTAAATATACTTTCTTTTAAAGGCCAGCCATCTAAAATGTATACAAGGAATTTTAAATTATTCTAAAATCAGTAACAGTCACATATTTGTTTTAATTATGCACAAGATTACTGTATTAAAATTATTATAATCTACTTTTCTTTACTATGAGCCTAATACAATAACCTCTAGGTACCAATGCTTTGGAACCTAAGGAACACCTTCTTTTTATTTTTCTTAAGACAGAGTCTCACTCTGTTGCCCAGGCTAGAGAGCCGTGGTGTCATCCTAGCTCACAGCAACCTCAAACTCCTGAGCTCAAGAGATCCTACTGCCTCAGCCTCCCAAGTAGCTGGGACTACAGGCATGTGCCACCATGCCTGGCTTATTTTTTCTATATATATATTTTTAGTTGTCCAGATCATTTCTTTCTATTTTTTAGTAGAGATGAGGTCTCGCTCTTGCTCAGGCTGGTCTCGAACTCCTGACCTTGAACGATCCACCCACCTCGGCCTCCCAGAGTGCTAGGATTACAGACATGTGCCACTGCACCCGGCAGGAATACCTTTTGTACAACCCAACTCCCCCACCATATATGCTACTACTTAGAATGTGGAGTATAATATTTGCTTTATTCAAAAAAATAAGTGTACACCACACAAATATTTTTACCACTTTTCATGTCCCACCACCACGTTTATCAAAATGATAATGTATCTTTAAAAACATATTAAGTTATTTTTTTTATTAGAGACAGGGTCTTGCTCTGTCACCCAGGCTGGAGTACAGTGGCATGATCATAGCTCTCAGTGCAGCCTCAAACTCCCGGGCTCAAGTGATCCTCCTGCCTCAGCCTCCCAAAGTGCTGGGATTACAGGCGTGAGCCACCATGTAAAAACACATTAAGTTCTAAGACCACATAAAGCTATTTATAAGTTGAAGGATTTCTAACACCAAACAAGATTCAGAAAGACTTTTTTGGGAGAAAAGGCTCTCAGAATCTGTGGCTGGAGGTATTACAGAGGCCACAATGGTCTCAGTCAATAAGCTAAACCAGAAACATTATAAGCTATAATTCTGCTCACTTTTGTGTTCACATTTCTCATACGAGTATCTTATGGCAGGAATACAAATAAACATTTTTGGCCAAGCGCAGTGGCTCCCGCCAATAATCCTAGCACTTTGGGAGGTCAAGGTGGGAGGATCACTTGAGGTCAGGAGTCCGAGACCAGCCTGAGCAACATAGTGAGACCCCATCTCCACAAAAAATAGAAAAATTAGCCCAGCATGGTAGCACACGCCTGGAGTCCCAGCTACAGGAAGGAGGATCGCTTGAGCCCAGGAGTTTGAGGTTGCAGTGAGCTAAGATCATGCCACTACCCTCATACTGGGACAACAAAGCAAGACCTTGTCTACAAAAAAATAAATGAATAAACACTCACATTTTCAACACCACAAAATGCAGCTGGTTCCAGCCCTCTGGCCAAGAACTGGTTCAGAATGAGCACATGTAATTTTCCTTTTTTAATCTTTTATTTTTTAAATTACATACAATTTTTGGGTCCCCAGTGATTATATTCATAAGAAATTACCCAAAGGAAAATGTAAAATGAATTTAAGGAATGTAAATTATTCATTCTTATTTCACATCCAATTTTTATTTCTTTAATTTTTTTATTTTTCTGTGAGACAAGGTCTTACTTTGTTGCCCAGGCTGGAGTGCAGAGGCCCAATCATAGCTCACTGCAGCCTCATATTTTTGGGCTCAGGGATCCTCCTGCCTCAGCCTCCCAAGTAGGTGGGATTACAGGCAGATGCCACCATGCCTGGCTAATTTTTTTTTTTAATTTTTTTAAAGACAGGGTTTTACTATGTTACTCAGGCTGGTCTTCAACTCCTAAGCTCAAGTGATCCTCCTGCCTCAGTCTCCTGAGCAGCTAGGATTACAGGCATGAACTTCCACACCAGGCTCACACCCTATTTTTATATACCAGCTGCTTCTCAGACCCATAGCATTCAAGAACCTTATTACAAGCTTTATTCAGCAAGATTAATTTATTATTACTTACACTTAAAAACTTGTCTTGAACGAACTGGGTTTGGTTCATGCACATGGCTCAAGTGCTCCAGCAAAGAAACAAGCAATAGTTGGTTTGCAACTGCAAAAGGGAAAGTTGGCTGTTGTAGGGGTTCTTTTAACACCTGGAGTTCTGCTGGAACATCAGATTCTAAAAATTAAAAAAGAAAAAAAATTTAAATTAATGGTAAATCTGTCTCATAACAACAAAAGAGTATATTCTAAGGAATGAAATACAAACTATTTAAAAGTTTAAGGAAATAGAAAACAAAAAAGTAGTTATGTTGAGGTGAATTAATCAGGAAAGGCTTTCTGGAAGTGAGTTTTGAGTTGAATTCTAGAAGCTGGAGGACCAGCAGAAAAATGCCATGAGGCAGAGGAGAAACAGTTTTGGTAGCAATTATGTATGCAATGGTAGAAATAAATAAACAAATAAATACACAAGCAAACAGGCAAGCAAGTGGGAATAGTATGGCTTCCTGTTTCCTTTGAAGAAACAGTCAAGATGCAGACATAAAGAAAATGTTTGGCAGAGAAGAGGGAAAGGGAAGAAGGGTGGAGAAACTTTACTGGATGAGCACGTGATACATGTGTACTCGGTGTTTTATATGCGCAATCTCCTTTAACCTTCTTGAAACAATATAAGGTATTACCACTCCCATTGTACAGGTGAGGACGCTGATCTCAGAGAGGTTAAGGAACTAGTCAATCAGGCAGATCAGACTGACTCTTAAGCCCATCCTCTTTCCAACTATGCAAGACCAAGCAGAGAGTTAAAGATGAAGGTCATAAGTTCTTACCGTTTATTTAAGACATTATTGAACAGGTAAAAAAAACACAATGAATGAAAAATGAGGAAACCATGGAGCTAAGTCACAGAAAGGTAGAGGAAAGACTATATCCCAGAGATACATTAAGAAAGAAATGGGCTGGCCAGGATTTAAAACACTAGGAATGGGAGGGTGGAGGTGTTCTTGAGTGTGCAAATCAGTAAGAGACACATTAAATCAAGAGCTGTTGACCCATTCAATTAGAAACATTTTGTAGATATAGGAACTGTATATCCCATGCCTTCTATTTAACAAAACCAGCCCCATTTCAAATATTCTAATCCATTCTTCTCTATCAACTACTAAAGTCCCAGAGAGCCAAAGTTTAAATCCAGGCTTTATCCATCAATTTCCTCTCTGACCTATAGGCGGCCAAGAAAAAAAAGACTTACATGTATACAAATAAGCTATTCATTTTAAATAAATACTTAATTGTTTGAGTACAGGAAAGAAAAAGAATGAAATGTGGCCATGTAAAAACTTCTCTGTAAAAACATCTTAAAAATTAAAATATGAGTCACAAATTCAGATTTAGTACATATATCTGTACTATACATGACAAGACAAAGAAAAGGAAATAAAATATGGAGCTCTTACAAGCTAGTAAGAAAATGAAGCACAATTAAAATTCAAATAGGTTTATCATAACTAGTAATTAACAACATTCATATTAAAATAACTAAAGTACCAGAGTTTGCCCATCAGATTTAAAGCCTAGAATACCTGGTACTGTCAAGGGTTTGGAAAAGGAGACATTTTCAAACACATGGGGTACAAAAGTGTTTGCAACCTTTGGCAATACACTGCAGAACTTACAATGTGCAAACCTTTCACCTAGCAATTCCACTTTTGGAAATGCGTACCAAGGAAATCATTAAAGTACAACAGATAAGTATGTACAAAATGGTCAGCATAACGCTGTTTAGAATATTGAAAATTGTTAAATAAGTTATATACAGAAAGTAGAATACTATGTATCTGTTAGAAATGATAGTGTATAGAAAGATAATCATAAAGTCTATTATCAAGTTAAAGAAGCAGGCTATAAAACAGTAATACTGGGCCAGGGACAGTAGCTCACACCTATAATCCTAGCACTTTTGGAGGCTGAGGCAGGAGGATCAACCAGCCTGGGCAATAGTGAGAACTCATCTCTATAAAAAATTTTAAAAATTAGCTGGACACCGTAGCACATGCCTATAGTCTCAGCTACTCCCGGAGGCAGAGGCAGGAGGACAGCTTGAACCCAGGAGTGTGAGGTTGCAGTGGGCTATGATGACGTCACTGCACTCTAGCCAGGGCAACAGAGATTGACCCTGTCTCAAAATACAAAACAACAAAAAAACCCAGTAAAACTAACACAGGTGAGGTGAGATAGTTTCATACGTGGGTATATAAACCCACACAATCTTTTCTGGTCATTATTTTAGCAAACTATCAAAAATCTTTAAAAAAAGGGGGCCTAGTCCGGGCATGGTGGCTCATGCCTGTAATCCTAGCACTCTGGGAGGCCGAGGCGGGTGGATCGCTCAAGGTCAGTTCAAGACCAGCCTGAGCAAGAGCGAGACCCGTCTCTACTAAAAATAGAAATTATCTGGACAACTAAAAAAAATATATAGAAAAAATTAGCCTGGCATGGTGGTGCATGCCTATAGTCCCAGCTACAGTAGACAGTAGTCCTACTGCCCAGAGGCAGTAGGACCGCTTGAGCACAGGAGTTTGAGGTTGCAGTGAGCTATGATTGGGTCACTGTGTCTGCCTGGGCAACACAGCGAGATCCATTTTCAAAAAAAAAAAATCTTCTGCATGCTTTTCTAGATTCTCAACATATTTTGTAATATGAAATTTTAAATATATATACTGAAGGGTTCACAGTGGTGAGACTATGGTTAGGAGGATTTTCTGCTTCTTTATACTTAACGGTTTCCTGTTTCTACAATGGGAAAATTCTACTTTTTAATAAGAAAAAACAAAACAGAATGGTTGGTCAGTGGAGTCAAATGAATCTTTAACAAATCAAGAAAATGACAACTTTAAAAAGACCAATGGGCAGATTACTCAAATACAGTAAAATGTAAAGAAAATGAAGGCTGAAGTCGAAAGCTTCCCATTACACAGAACTGGTCAAGAGTAGAAGAGTATAATTAAAGTATCAAAAAGGAAAGAAGAGGTCAAGTTCTCTTACAAAATAGTAAGAAAGTAGATACAGATCCTACCTGAATTAGAGTTCTAGACTTCTACGGAATAGGATGGGAGCAGACAGACAGGAAAGGGATAATCTAATTCAATCACTTCAGAAAAGTATAATCCAAATGGTCCATTATTAAGTGAAAAAGGAGCCTGGGGAATTAATCTGAGGTAAAATTTTTGAAAAACTGTTATGAGATGAAAGAAGAAAATTAATGAGTCCGACGATGGGCTTACTGTTGGCCCTCCTTCTCAGGCATGCAGTTCCACAGAAAGAAAGCATGCAGTAACTTTGCTCAAAGGCTGATGGTGACACTAGGAGAATCCCTACACAGCTAGGCGAATTCCTACACAGCTAGGCGAATTCCTATGTAGGTGTTAAAGTTACATCCAGGTTTTGAATTTTCTGACTCTACCATGAACTGGCAGAATGACCTCAGATCATACAGAGTGACCATCTGCAAGAAATCACTTATTCTGTTTTTACATCTATTAAAAATAAAATTACATTTTTCACAGCCCTTACTTTTCATGTAAAAAGATAAATTGTATCTGGACATTCTGGGCCTCTTTGGAACAAAAGGTGGTACGTAAGCACAACAGTATCATCAGTCACCCAGAGGAAAAAAATGTTAAAAGCATTATCTAAGATCACTCCCTTCAAGAATAATCTTTAGTTTGCAGAAACCCTTATCAAAATGTCACAGAAAGGACAGACTTGCATGTTTACAGCTGGGACTTTTCCTATGACATAACACTTTCCATACTATTGAGTTGCTATAATATGCCACCTTACGTGTAGAAAATATCCATTTGTCCATTAAAAAATAGTTATCATACAATATTCCTCTGCAATAGCATACCTGAATTACCACCACACTCTGCTTTTGTTCTTTTGTTTTCCATTATGGTCGAGAATTATAGGTAGTGTTTAAGGATGGAAATGGAAGTACTTTTCCATTTATTTATTCCATTTGAATAAATCAAAACCTTTTCAACTTGGTTTCCACCTTTAAATCCATTGCAACACATTAATATTTGTTTCATGCTTCAACTTAAATGTGTATTCTCTGTGATCGTTCTATTGGAACTACCGTATAGTTAAAAACTCCCTCAATCAATGTGCGCATTCTTGATAACACAATTCAAGTTTTAAAATTGCCAAAACAACTAGAGACTATTTCACTTTCGTTAAAATATTGGACTCTTTGACCTGGTTAGAGTCAATGTTTAAGGACCTCACCCTTTATGCTGAATAACTTGACTTAGCTACGTAATATGTCCTAAGAAAACTTGAGCATTTTTTTTCTTTAAGCTGAAGAGGACGGTTTATTTCCACATGGCCGCCCTATGAGAGAATATTTAGATATCCTACCAGTAAAGCAAAAGAATAGCTACAAATTAAAACTCTTAACCCACACTCTTCAGCACATAATCTGCAAAGTCTCATTCTAGTAGTGTACAAAGATCATTCTCAACGACTGACAAAAATCACAAGGCTCGGGAGCTGGAAAGTGGCCTCAAGGAAGTTCTTAGCCGGCCGAAAGCCTCAATCCGCAGAAAGGAAGCCAAGGAACAGAAATGTAAACAAATGAGCAGGTCGCAAACACTAGTTTCAATAACTATTTTCCTTACCCCGAAGGCCCGCCCACCGCCCCCCCGCACTGCTCGGCTGGCACCCGGTTCAAGCCCGAGTCAGCAGAATTTGCCCAGGTGTGAGGCAAAGCCCGGACCGCCCGGAAACGCAGGTGGACAAGGGACAGCAAAGCGGCGCCGCGGCATTCCGGGGTCCCTCACCATCATACTTGAGGTCAGGGCCTTCGGTGGGGAAGTCAATGGCGGGCGGTGCAGCCACAGCCCCGGCCCCGTCGCCCTCTGTTTCGCGCTCTCGAGCCCCGGAGCTGCCTCCGAGCATCGCCGGCAGCGCGCGGGCCGCAGCCCAGCCCGCGGACCCGCCCAGCACCTCAGCACTCAGCACCCGCAAGGATCGCCTCTCAATCCGGAAGTAGCCCTTGGAGAAGCGGAAGACCCCTCCCAGCCACACGCACACCGCCGTAGAGGGCGTGGTCTGCCGCCGGCCCCGCCTTCCTTCCCCTTTCTGAGAAGGAAGGCTGGGCCGGTCCGACGCGAGCGCACCATGGCGCGTACGCCCTGATAGGCTCGTCTTTGGGCGGCGGTCTGCGGGGCTTTAGGGGCGAGGGGGGCGGCGGTGAGTGGGGGTCGCTGCTGCGCCCTAGTGGCCCCCGGCCGCTCCTCAGGGTTGTCCTGAGTATCTGCAGACAAGTCATAACGCTCACATCTCACGCGAAGACTCGGGTATGAGTGTAAGAATCAGGTGTCTGAAAAGACTATTCGAAATGTTTGCCTTTTGTGTATACAACTGTGACTTTTTGTCGTTTATTTTCAAAAAAAAAAAAAATCAAAGGCATCTGCAAAACCTGCGTCAATGAGACCTACACCTATTTTGGTCAAGCGTTAAACCACAAACGGTAAATGCCAACTAGATTCCAAAGTGCGAAGTGAATCGAAAGTCTGCTGGCTTTGAGACCGAATTCACAACTGAAATGCTTTCAAATCTGAGAGCCTTTTCCAGAAACCCTCTGGCCTCACTGGATTGACTAGGGTTTGAAGCCCTCAGATTCAAAAATCCACCCTCTTTGCTCTCTGGAGGTGTCCCCCGATGACTTGATCGCCAACACAATGCTGTGTGAAAATTATCATTAGGAGATCACGGATTAGATGGCACTGGAATAAAAATCTTTCAGATTTTGGACCTCAACCACATTGCAATGTGCAAAAGTGGCATTTTTTAAGAATTTTATTTGAACATATTTTCCCTACGGAATCATACTGGATGCATTCAGCCTGGCAGAGGCAATTAAGGATGTAGTTCTCCAGATGACTTGCAACGATTAGGGGTGTCCCAACCGTGCCTTGCTGATGTTCTGGTAGAGCACAGCCTTTCTGGGGAGTGATTTATCTGTATGCATTCGCAGCTTTAAAAATGTGAATACTTCATTTTTTTTCTCAACAATTCCACGTTCAGGAATTTATTCTAAGGAAAAAGGTAAGAATGAGCAAAAATATATAGTTACAAAAACTATTGATTGCAACACTGATTATACATTGAAACAAGAAGACAGTATAATTGACTAAATCAATTAGGAACATCCATACAATGGCACACTTTACAGGCATTAAAAACGTCTGATATCTAATATCTGGGACTCGCCATCACTGGAAATGCCCTGTATTACTGGGGGTTTGGAGAAAATAAGACAACTTGTTCTGATGGGTACATGGTAAATAGAAGCAACCTTTCTAGAAGACCACGTGCAACTTATAGTAAAAATTTTGAAATAGGTGTTTCCCTTGACCTACGTATAAGAGTATATCCAGCTGGGTGTGGTGGCTGACACCTGTAATCCTAGCACTTTGGGAGGCCAAGGCAGGAGGATCACTGGAGGTCAGCAGTTCAAGACCAGCCTGAGCAAGAGCAAGACCTCCATCTCTACAGAAATAAAACAATTAGGTGGGTGTGAGTGTGCACCAGTAGTCCCAGCTGCTCAGGGGGTTGAGACAGGAGGATCGCTTGAGCCCAGGAGTTTGAGGTTGCAGTGAGCTGCAGTGGCACCACTGTGCTCTAGCTGGAGCAACAGAGCCAGACCCTGTCTCAAAAAAAAAAAAAAGTCTATCCAAAGGAAATAATCAGAGTAGCAAAAAAAGATGAATCTATAAGAATGTTCATTTTTCATTTTCATTTATTTATTTTGATGAAACAGGTTCAGAAAGTAAAGAATGTTCATTAAAGTATAGTTTATAATAGAAAAGCAATAAAATCAAATTCCAAATAGAAGAGCAGTGAAGGTACATCCATACAATGAAGCCTCATGCCGCCATTACAAAAATTGAAAAAGCAGTACATTTCTCTCTGGGCTTCTGTAATATCATACTTTTCTGGTTTTTCTCTATTTTACTGGTCTTCCATTTCAGTATCCTTTACTGAATCCTTCTCCAAATGTGTAAATCCTATAGGGCTCTTGTCATCGCTCTCTAAATTCAGGAGATAGCCATGTGCATTGCTATCACTTTAAATGCCATCTATAAACTGACAACCCCCAAATGTATATTTATAGCACAGACTTGTTCTGTTGGATGACTCAAAAGCATCTCAAATATGTCTAAAAGAAAGAACTTTTGGTCTTGCTCCTAAAACTTATTTGCCATTACCCCTCTTCATCCATGTAAATGGCACACAGTCAACCCATCTGTCCAAGCCTAAAACCTGGGAGTCCACCTTTATTCTATATCCAGAATATATTTAGTCTGCCTACAAATTAATTTTTTTAAAATAAGAAACATAGGCTGGTCTGAAGGTAGTGAGTTATCGCAATTGATGGTTCACAGTTAGTTACAGATCAAACTCTTTGTTCTACTCTTTTCCCCTTCTCACTACTGCAGTTGACTAGTCTTTAAAAAAAAAAAAAGGAAACATAAAATATAAACATGCAATGTTAAAATACTCTTAACCTAAGAGGAACCCCAAATGACCAATAAGCATAGGAAAAGCTGTACAAGTTTTACCACTTACAAATAAATGCAAGTTAAACAATGAAATATTTCAAAATAGCATATTTGCAAAATTGAAGCTTCTCATGCCAAATGTTGGCGAGGATATGAAAAAAAGAGGAACTACCACGCCTTTCTAAAGAGTAATTTAGCCACATTGAATAAAGTGAAATGGTTGACAAAGATTCTCTCCTTGACCTAATTCTAGTCAGGTTCCTCTGAATTCTTTTCTCAACTAGGCCCTGATTTTTTAGTTTCCATGTTCATTTCTGCATCATCCATTTTTATCAAGAATCCTGGTACGTCACTGTAGCCAGAATTCCCCATTCTCAATATCTGATCACCCTCTATAACTGTTTGGAATCCTTCTTTCCTAACATCCCCCAGGTGATGGTCCAATTCCCCTGACCTGCCTTTGGCAAGAATCCTGTTAGGTCAGATTAGCCAGAAATCCCCCTTAACCCTGATGTTTCCTCATAGTAATTTTCCATACACTGACATCCCCCCTGCCAAACACTTGGCTTACACACATACACACACTTCTCCTTGGCTATAAATTCCCACTTTTCCTTGTATTCGGAGTTCAATTTGACCTTCTCTCCTATTACAGAACACCATTGTAGTAATCCCCCTTGAATAAAGTCAGCCCTACCATCTTTAACAAGTGTCATGAATACTTTTTTTCTTTAACATGTGCATACTCAAGATCCAGTAATTAACTCCTAGGTTCCCTTTGGACACCCTCTATGTGCTCAAGGATATGTATATAAGGATGTTTATTGCAAAATTATTTATAATAAATTGGAAATGCCCTAATATCCATCAATACAGAAATAAACAAACATATATGCAAGCAAATATTTTGGAACAGTTACGATAAATCAACTAGTCCACATATATTATTAGGGATATTGAAATCAACATGGTAAAAACCCTAAATTACAGAAGGCAATAATAATAATAATAATTGCTAATGTTTACTCAGCACCGTGTCAGCCTGAGTTTTCCACCCTGTTCGAAGTGTTTTTACAAGTATTATCTTATTCAATCCTATAGCAAACTTACTAGCTAGATACTGTAATTATTTCATTTTATAGATAAAGGAAAGAAAGCTCATTAAATACCTTCCCCAAGGTCACACAACAATAGTGCAGCCAGGATTTTTTCCCACATATCGCCTTTCATTGTTGTCTATATTTTCTATGATAGCTTTATTGAGGTATAATTTATGTACCATAAAATTCACTCTTTTAAAGTGTAGAATTCAGTGGTTTTTAGCATATTCAGAGAATTGCGCAACTATCACCACTACCTAATTTTAGCCACTTTCATCACCTCGAAAAGATATCCCTGGCAGGCAGAATTTAAATCCAGGCACTTTGGCTCTAAATTCAGCCTCAAAAAGTACAGAGTGATGCCACATGTGTAAAAAGAATTTTATGTATACTATTTATGGACGAATACATTTGTAGTAAAAATGTTAAAATACATATGGGAATGATACCTGACTTTAAGAGAGTGATCACCTCTTGAGAGGGAGAACAGAGAGTGGGATCAGGAAACGTTGCAATTGGAATGTAGGCATATCTGTAAATGTTATTTCTTAAGAAAAGCAATTCTCAAACAAACATAGCTTAACATCAGAGGTTGTTAAACTTGGGTGTGGAAGCATTGGCATTTCTTTATATTATTCTTGGTCCTTTTTTTTTTTTTTTTTAAGAGACAGGGTCTGGCTCTGTTGCCCAGGCTGGAGTGCGGTTGTGCAGTCGTAGCTCACTGCACCCAAACTCCTGGGCATAAGCGATTCTGCCCTCTCAGCTTTCAGGCATAGCTGGGACTACGGGTGTATGCCATCACACCCAGCTTGTGCCTTTTTATGTGTTTAAAGTATTTCATTTTCTTTTCCTTTTTCAAGAAAGTGGGTATATTAGGGATTTCCTGAGAAAGAGAACCAATGGGATGTGTATATGTCTAGAGAGATTTATTTTAAGGAATTGGCTCATAGGATCACGAAGGCTGCCAAGTCCAAAATCTACAGACAATGGGACAGGCAAGCTGGAGACCCTGGAAGAACCAGTGTTGTGCTTTAAGTCAGAAGGCTATCTGCAGGCAAAATTTCTTCTTGTTCAAGGGAGGTCAGTCTTTTGGCTCTATTCAGACCTTCAACTGATTGGATGAGACCCACACACACACATTACGGAGGCAATCTGCTTTACTCGAAGTCCACCAATTTAAATGTTAATCTCTTCCAAAACCACCTTCCCAGAAACATCCAGCATAATATTTGACCAAATACCTGTCCACTGTGGCCCATCCAAGTTGACATATAAAATTAATAATCACAAGTCCACCCCTTGTCAGCGGCACCCATACACATCGCTTTAAGCCATATTTAATCTCCAAACAAAGACAATGGCAAGGTCATTCTTCCACCTAACATGATACAACTATCCTGTGTACAACCAAAAATGCACTA